GATAGTGGTGCGACCTATCATGTGTGCCCTAGAAGGGAATGGTTCTCCAGTTTTGAGAAGCTGGTGGATAGTGGTGTGGTGTACATGGCTGATAACCGTGCATGTCAGATCCTTGGGATAGGAAGAATTCGCATAAAGATGTTTGACGGGACTGTTAGAGAGTTAAACGATGTGAGATATGTTCCTTCTTTGAGGAAGAACTTGATCTCGATTGGAGCTTTGGTTGGAGAGGGTCTGAATGTTCGTGTTGAGGACATGGTTCTCGAGATTACGAGAGACTCTTGTATTTTGATGAAGGGCGTCAGGAGAAATAACCTGTATTACTTGACTGGAGGTATAGTGGCAGGTGGAGAGCTGACGACTTCTGTTGATTCGACTAGACTGCGGCATTTGGGGCTTGGCCATTCCAGTATTGATTCCTCGCATAGATTGAAAGAGGGTGCAAAGACCTGCAGTTTGAAGTCCAGTGAACATGTTGATGTGAGCAAGAAGACCGAGGTGAAGTGTGGCACCTCTATTCACCGTGCTAAGGGTCGTTCTGGAGGAGTTCACGTGGATGTTTGGGGGCCTTCCAAGGGGACATCATTGGGAGGTAATAGAAGTTTGGTTTCCTTTGTTGGTGGTTGTTCTAGGCGTGTTTGGGTTGCAACCAAATCCCCTTTGGAGAAAGTCCTAGTAGTATCCAACAGATTGAAGAAGTGTGTGATAGACAGAATGGTGAAGGTACTCCATTCTGGTGGGAGGTACAAGATGGACCTGTTTCTGTATTGGAGCCGAGCTCACGGTATTTCGAGACACTTCGTTGGAAAGGAAATCTTGGGGCAACTAGATAGGGTGAAAAATTTGGAGAACCGTGCCTTGCTGGAGGAGGATCGGTGTTTGTGGTCGAGCAATGGTTTGCAGAAGAGTTTCTGGACAGATGCTTCGACATATTTAGGTCATCCTATTAAAGAGCTGTCAACTGCTGTGATTGGAGGTAAAACTCCTTTGAAAGATAGGTCTGGTAGTGTCACTTTGGTTAAGGCTTCGATGAGGAAGCCAATTGACTCTCAGCAGGTGGAGAGTTTTGGACAGACCTTAGAGGTATCGTAGCGGGTGGAGACTGATGCTACTCCACATTGGGTGGGGATTTTCCCACATACTCCAGGTCATTCTGCATTGGTTGGGATTCCAGCTGAGGTGACACAGCGTGGAAGTCATTTGGATTCGGATGCAGATGATGAGTTGGGTTTTGACTCGAGTGCAGCTGATAGATGCAGTTTGGATATGACCATTGGTTCACCTCAGGTGGAGGTGTTTGAGGCCATTGGAGGTGCTATCAGCCGCAGAGTTGATGATATTGGAGAAGGGTTGCGAACTCTTCTATTGGTTTGAGGTTGTTCGCGGCCATTTGGGTGAACTACGTTCGGCTTGATTCCTTGGGCAAGAGGATACGTAGGCAGTCTTTATGATGCAGCCGGTTTTGGATTATTTGATGGGGGTGAGATCGATTTGGTGAGTTAATACTGACATTTGGAGAGTGTTCGCATTCTCATTTGGGTTCTCGACTTGTTATGGATTGAGTCCGTTGTCGTGAATTGTTTCACTTCGTACTGGACACAACAAGTGAGATATTTGGTTTGGTCGTATCGGCTCAGTTTTGGGAAAACTTCACCGAGGTGGAGAATTGTTAGTGGGGGGCACACGAGAAGAGGGAAACCCACGTGAAGAGATAGCTTTGCGTGTGTGGGAGGCTAAGGCTTGAAAACCGCGTGAAGGGCACATCAAAGCAAGGACTTGTTTGATTGTTTTTTGTTTCCGCATGGGCCCACCCAACAACTTGCAGCCTATAAATTCTTTTGCTCTAGGGTTTCTTGCTTGGGCTTGGGGAAAAGCGGCGTGCAAACCGAAGACCTAGGGAGGCGTGCAGAAGTGAGGGGGTGCAGGAGTTTTTTGTTTTAATTACGGCTGCAGTGTGCAAATTTGAGGAGAAGAATAGCGGCTACAGCGGTGCAAGTACAGGATAGAGGCAAAGCTAGTGGCGGTTGTGGCCAAGTGCAGGCAGAGTTAAATTTTTTTTTGGGCTGGCGGGAGAAAGGCGGCAGTGGAAAAAACAGGGGGCGTGCAAAACAGGCGGCTTTCTTTTGGCTTCGTGCAAACAATGGGTTTTTGTACTTTTGAGGAGATAATTGTGTGAGGGTTTAGATTGAGTGATTGTAAACGCGCTACCCTTGTATTATCTCCGCTTAATAGTAGAAGTCTCCGGGCCCTCTTGCCCCTGCGACGTAGGCAGTTTGCCGAACCACGGTAAAATTGGTTTGTTGGCGTTTGACCATTGTAATACTTTTAGGATCCCTCGAACGCGGCATGTCTAGACTGACGAGAGGAAGAGATAATTCCCACTTTGATGGGATATTAGGTTTCAGATTCTTGTTTGCCCGTTTGAGAAAGCAAGAATTCTTCTTGATCTTTCTCTGCTATTGTGCAGCCAGATAACGTCTGGCCGAAAGTTTGCGCTGGCGCACAGCAAAATTTCCTACGCGTCGCAGCTCACCTTCCGTTTTCTCATATATATATATATATATATATATATATAATATATATTATATATATATATATATAATATATTTGGCACTTATCGTCGAGTGCAAAAGAATGATTCTGTTTCGCTTTCTGAAGATGCGTAATCATTAGGGGTGAGCAAAATTCGGTTTAAAGCAAACAAACCGACTGAACCAACAAAAATTTGGTGTTCGGTTTGGTTTAGAAATAGTTTGGTTTGGTTGTTAAAAATAACGCTCGGTCACAAATCAAACCGACCGAAATAAGTTGAGACCAAAAATAAGTTTAGACATTAAGCTAAGTCCGGACATACTCCTACTTGATCCCTACGTCTTACACTTATCCAATCTAAACCTACTACTAACTGAAATCTAAAACCAACAATCAAATACAGTTCCAAGTTCCCACACAACTCTCCCTCCCTTATATCCGCTTTGTCTCCCTTATCCTAACATTATGCAGCAATCCTCACAACGCCACCTTTTTCGACGTGTCAGGAACAATACACTGGTTACAGTATTGACATCTCGCTTAATTCAAGTCTAAACAAAATAAACTGAACCGAACCGACTAAATTGATTTAATTAGTCTACCCTTCTCCCTTACGCCCCTATTGCTAGATGTCCTCAATCCATGGAGGCGCTGACTCTCTTATACATAGATCCAAATACTTGTGCAGATATTAAAGTTATTTGGAAATATTTGTTACCGTGTTTCTGCTGGTGGATGTGGAATTGTAGAAACTACCTCATATTTAGAGATTTCCCTGCAAATCCTAATCATATTGCAGCTAATATCGTGTCATTTTTTTGACAGGGGCCGAAGAGGACAGATTGGCGAGGCGTATTCGTAAGGCTGCCCAAAACCTGAAGATGCAAGAAATTGCACAGAAGAACACTGTTGGTGCTTGTGGGGACAACTTCTCTGATGCCAGTTGACTTGGCAGTGTTTCTCTCCAAGTTCAGCGCCTAGCAGAAGATCTGCTCCCATGCGTATAGCGGCTTTTGGACTTGGTTTTTAGGAGCTGGCCAAAGAAGCCACGGGGGAAGTCATAGGAGATAACTTCTAAGCTCCCCGACATACTTTTGATGTTTTCTAGCTGTTAACAGTCAGTAGTTCCAGGTTTTTTGTAATAACTATTAGTTGACTCTTGTTTTTCTCTTTTTTGGCCACGATTGGTCTTTGTTGTCAGGGATGAAAAGGAAACAATTCAGATTTGGCTCGGTGGGTGACGACAATGTCCGCTTCTCACTAGCCAAATCTCCTCTTGGTTCTTTTTTTCCTTGGTTTTTGGTACTTTTGTAATTATCCTTATATTTTGATCAATATACATATATGAACAGGAAATCTCTCCCTATTTCTTCCGTTCAAAAAAATTTAATTTTAATATTGGTTCGGTTCGGTTTTAAATCTAAAAACGGTTTAGTTTCGTTTTGGTAAAATTTAGCCAAAACTAAACCGACTAACCATTTGCTCACCCCTATTAGTCATACATATTCATTTCAGTAGGCTACCTAATCTCCAAATATATTTAATCATACATATATTCATCTCAATATGATGCCTAACCCCCTATTTATGATCCTAGCAATTGGATTTTAGTAATGAAAACATTCACTAATTCTTACCATGTAGTGAAAACATTCACTAATTCTTACTATTTATTGTTTAATGAATAGTCATAAATTACAATGAGCGAAAAGATGGAATGACTGTAATTGAGATATAGGAATGGAACAGATATTTAAAATGAATCACCGACAAAATTCCAATAATACAGGCTGAATTTTCAAATGACACTTTACAAATGCACACGTATTACATGCGCAGATGAAAATTATGTTGAAGCAAGATTGCCACCTACTAAACAGAATCAAAATATACGATGAGCTATCTAGAACTCTTGACTAATGGCATTTCTTTCGAATGAAACAGCTTAACCCTTCTTTTCTGAGATTCCGGTTGGGCAAAAGGGGGTAAAACTATACTAAACCCCCAAGAACTTTCAGCGTTTTGTAGTAAACCCCCAATAACTTTTGTAGAAAACCCCCATAATCTTTTGGATAAATTATACTAAACCGCCAGTAACTTGACTTTCAAAACGTCTTTTTATGTTTTTTTTTTTTGTTAGAATTTATGGAGCTAAACTGCAAAATGCGTAAACTTACTGGGGATATTTTTACAATTCCAAAAGTTAACGAGGGTTTGTTGCAATCTTGAAAGTTTGGGGGTTTGCTGCCTTTTTACGAAGCCTGTCATCATTCTCTTCTTTTGTTATGGTCGTGATCATCGTGTTCGTGCCTATCAAAGGTACAGCATAAATGTAGGAGGCATATTTTGTAGTGAGTGCTGCAAAAAGAACAAAGTACTAGATTCTCATCTTCAAACTTTCGACATCCACTCCTTTGTACATATAAGATCTTGGCTCTTACCCTTCTCTTTTAAACTGGTGTAAACAACACTCCACAAGCTCACAATGGTGAGAAAGCAGACTACATAGATTCTATCAGTTGCATGAGTTATATTTTCTCGTGAACTAAACGCTAGTTTGTGTTGTTTACGATACAGAATTCTCAGAAGAAGATGGCTACAAGCAAGAGGATAAAGATAGGGCCATGGGGGGGCCAAGGAGGAGTTCCTTGGGATGATGGGAACTACCGAGGTATTCTATCGATAACTTTGGTTTATGATCGATGTATTAACTCGATCAGGGTCGAGTACGACAAAAACGGGAGGCCTATACTGGGCGAAAGACATGGAGGAAGTGGAGGAAGACATGTAATCCAAGTATGCGCTCATGTTAAAGAAATATCCTTTACCTCGTTTGCTTACTGCTATAATGTTAATAGGATTGTTTGAACATGCACCTGTACTATGCCAGGGGTAACTATTTATCGTTCGTGTTCCATTTTATTAGTACATACACCTTCTGGCCCTCATGACCACGTTATTTTCACATTAGTTTCTAAACTCTACTGTTTTCATCATGACATTCATATGAGTTTAAAAAACTAGAGAGAAAACATATCATTATGAGACACGAGGGTGTATTTAGTAATAGGGTTGATTGCATATAGACCTTCTAAACTATCGTGCTTTGGAACTTATTACCCCTACAGTTTGATTTGGGTCCTTTGGCAGATAGACTCGGGTGAAACTTTTAGCCTTAAGAGAAAGAAAATTGTTTTTTTTTATTAGACAAATAGACCCCGTAAGGGTAAAAGAACCCCAAAAAAAAATTCACTCAGGAGCTCTATCTCTATCTGCCAAAATCAAACTATGCGAGCAATAAGTTCCGAATCGCGGCACTGTAGGAGGTTTGCGCAATTCACCCTTAGTCCCTTACTAATAAGGTCAGAACATGGCTGATAAATAACCACGGCATCATAATACACGGGCAGCATCTACAAATTACTGAAATTGAGAATATGCTGTTTTGCCTTGTTTTTTTTTTCTAGATCAAATTTGCATACCCAGAAGAGTATTTGACTGACATAAGTGGGTACATCGCCCCCATGGTACATGGTGGCTCGCCCGTAATCAGATCTCTAAGATTCAACACCAATAAGCAGACATTTGGACCGTATGGGATTGAAGAAGGCACTCCATTTACAATACCAATTGAAGGAGGTATGGTTATCGGCTTTCATGGACGAAGCAGTCAATATCTTGACTCAATTGGCATGTATTTGTCTCGTATCCATGCATCAAGAATCTACATATACCAAAAGATGCAGAAACTAGGGGAGAAACTAGGGCACAGGGATGGCGCACGTGGATGCCCATACAAAGCCGGGGCCAGCAGAGATATTGCAGCAGAATAATGTTTTGCTAATGATATGCGTGATTGCGTGGGCCTTTAGACACAGACAAGTCGCACGTATTTTTTGATGTATCCGAGCAGATCAACTATGTCAGAATAAACACTTCTTTAAATAAAGATAAAATGAGTTCCATGAACAAAATGTACTGGATGGTTCTCCAGGCATAATCAAAACAAAATCACATCATCCAAAAAAGGTAACTCACTTCTTGGGCACATATCACCGCAGCGCACAACTAAAGTGCCCGCCCCCCCGCCCCTCCCGGCAACCCCCCACCCCACCCCGAATCCCCAGCATTTTTTTTTATTTTTTTTGGGTGGAAATTTATGCACATAGATAAGTAAGCTGAGTCATATGCACGAGTCTCAGTGTTACTTATGCTGCACCTTGGTCGTAATTTCGGTCTGAACACTCGTTGCCAAATCAGTATATTTTATGAAAAAATGTCCGGTAGTTTATAATTTACTGTATCCTCATTATCAGTTATTGGGTTGAATATCTCTCATAAGCTGAGAACCATAAAAAATAATAAGAAACTTGATAAGCTTTAGATATTTACTAAAAACAGTAAGATTCAAACTTTCAATAGAAAACAAATTTTTGGCGCACTAAAAAAGAGGCAGCATCATATGAACAGCTTTACATGGCTTTGAAAGTATACATACATCCTCGCAGCTTTTTAATATCTTGCAGTGCTTCCTCCAGCAAATGGTCCACATACAGGCAGACACCAGCACCGCTGCAAGTTTTCAGAAGATCATAATAAAACTTTTGAAAAAAAGCCTTCCGTCACAACTAAAACTTAGGATTCTCATATGTTGCACAATTAGCTCTGTGGCTAGTCCTAGATGGTGTACTAAATCTATCTTACATGGTGTGAAACTTGCATTCAAATGGATTTTTATTTTTCTCCAATTATTTAACGCTAATGAATAATATGCATTACCTAAAGGGGCCAAAGGGAAGCCATATTATGTCCCAGCGAAACGTCGGTAATCTGTAAAGAGTGACGTACAGAGGAAATGATCCATTAATTGAAGGTTACTACATAACAAGTCAAATTTTAAAATGTGACAGGAAAAGGTGAGTAGATAAAAAAAACATAATGTAAAATAATCATCCAGACCAGTTAATTACAAGAGCAGTATATGGGAATAAAATAAATAAACAGTAATATTATTCGGTTCTCCTATTAGTGAACTTTGAACTTTTCACCATAATTTCAATAACTATCCAGAGAAGTTAATCACAAAAGCAGTATATGGGAATAAAATAAAGAAATAGTAATATTATTCAGTGCTCTTATCAGTGAACTTTGAACTTTCTCCGGCATAACATGCATCTATCTCCTTATTACTAGAGGAATGCCTGAACGGCACTGAACACAGTTTAGATTCTTCAGAGAAATTAAAAATTAAAGTGCATACCTCATCATATAGTACAGCCAGAAGCAGGCTAGTAACAGCCCAGTGTAGCATGAATACCACATCCACTTCTGATAAGATGTTGAGCTTTGGAGTAGCCCCTTTACTGCTAATAAACAAGCAAGCACAGCCACCCAATCTGTGAAGTATGTCATTAATCAAAACCACATGTCTTCTGAAAGTGCGGCTAGTAAGGCACAAGGCCATTCTTCATAAAGCATTGAAAAGGAATCACAGGAATAATGCAAGAAAAAGTACTAGTAAGACGTAGTTCAGTCATAACAAATACATTTCAATAACAGCTATACTAAAGCTCGCATAATGCTAACGTTCAAGCATAAAGATCAAATGTCTACACAAACATACAGCTGAGAATAGGAATAAGTGTTCAATTTGCAAAGTTGGGTGTAATATCAATACAAAATACTAGCTTTAAATCGTGTAATTATTTCTTTTCTTCCTTCACAAGTGTAACTGGAATACCTTTAATCCTCATAACCCTCTTCTGATCTTCTTGATGGAATACAGTATTATGAGCAACAAGCAATCAAAGTAAATAATCTTCATACAAGATTTACAAAGCTTCAGCAAAATGATAAGAGCAGAAAGCACTTTAGCCTAGCTTTAAATGACTTTCAAAAATGCACTTACATGTCACCCATATACTGATAGGACGCCTAAAAATATTCCTCATCTAGATTCAATGTAGAAAAAAGAAAGGGGGAAAACTCTGATTTTTTCCTACATCGGCCAGTCACATCCTTCAGCCGAAAACAGAACTTAAGACCACAAAACTTGTGAGGTCAAAACAGCACTTAAGACCACAAAACTTGAACTTTACATGCACATCTTAGCTTGTATCTGACTTAGAACAACTGCATCTATGATCCAGAGACAGTGTATGCCAGTGTATTTCAATATGTAGAAGAAACGCTGTAAAAGCATGAAGCACAAGGATTTTTTTTAACATTATCAAATTTTCATTAGTGGAGAACAAAGCTTTGATTTTCCAGTAAAACTGGCATCAGACAATTAGTAAGGAGGATATCAGACAGCAAAAAAGACAAAATAGTGAAATGTCCAATTGTACTACTTTCTTGCAATCTTCCAAGTGTTTTCAATATAAGCTGCAACGAGTCAGACTTTATGTCAAAGTATAACCAGACATGTTACTGAAGAAGTGCAGCATATCTTAGTAATAGTACAATGTCACGGAAGGTTCTCTACACTTGCAATATGAGAAATAGAAATATCATATTTGCAACCTTTGTCCTTGAATTCTTAACTACCAGTAACAAATGGGAATGTGCAGAAAGAGGAATGAGAAATAGGAGTAAACCTGCAGTGATGACCATCCATGGGTGAATCTCATCCATGAAGTAAGCATGGTATCGCTGCTCGGAAGTCCAAACATGATGTCAAACACCAACATGAAGCAAAACAATGACAATATTCAACTAAACATGTTTACACCTAGAAGATATTATACAGATTGATTGTGGTTCAATTCAATACAATTAAAAAGTGATCCCCAAACAAGACATGAAATAAGTTGGGAGTTAATGGGCAGCTTTCACAAAACCTCCTTGAGTTTGGGCATTTCTCAGATAAACCCTTCAATTTTTAGGATCTCACAACCCCACCACCCACCCTCAAAAAATTTCTTTTTGGGATTCTCAGAAAACCCTCTTCAACTTTCAAAGTCATTTAAAAACAAAAAAGGTGTTAACCACAATTTGTACATGGGTGGGTAAAATAATGCAGGGGTATATTTTTGCCAGTGAAATTTATGGTTCACATTTTTTTTGGCGGTGTTTTTTTTTTGGGTGGGTAAAATAATGCAGGGGTATATTTTTGCCAGTGAAATTTATGGTTCACATTTTTTTTGGCGGTGTTTTTTTTTTGGGTGGGTAAAATAATGCAGGGGTATATTTTTGCCAGTGAAATTTATGGTTCACATTTTTTTTGGCGGTGTTTTTTTTTTTTTTTGGTGGTGGGGTGAGAGGTGGGGGGTTATGTGAGGAACGCCCAAACTTATGGGGAATTTTGTGAAATTGCACTTTACAGAAACACCAAATAATATGCTTGAGAATATACGAGAAACATGAAAAAGATTCATCATTTTGAATGACAATTAAAAACGAAACCGCATATGAAAAAGATTCATCATTACTTTTAAGGCTTACTTAGAGGAAACCACATGTATAACACCTATTCATAAGCTCTTGCTCAAGCTTTCCTAGATATAGGATTCTGTATGTTTTCCTATTAAACTAAACGGCCCTCGTGAAGTCATATGTAGTGGCAAATTGTATGACCATTTAGCATATGATGCCAAGCCAGGATAATTACCAAATTGAACAAACAAAAATGGGTTGTGTATTTTTTTGCACCTCCAAACAGTCAGCTTCTCTGATTTTCTACGCTTCAAATACCAAGCAAAGCTATTATTTAGTTGTGATATAGTTGTCCAGATATGGGAGTTTTTCACGATTGCTATGCTTCTAAATTTTTCATGGAGGCCAAACATCAGGAAAGTTTGATATTTCACATATGATCACATATTGATAAATGATTAAAAAATATAGAACACTCAGTTGCCTTTTTTTTAAATAAGAAATTGAATATTAATGTTTAACCTAAGATAAAAACTGTGTCAAATGATAGTATCCCCGTTGTCTGCCATCCACAATGGGTAGTCCAACTTTTATGAATTTAATTAATATCCCAGTTTAGATACTTATAACAAATATTTCCCTTCAATCCAGAATCCAATTTAAGAAACCCTAAGCCAATTGGCATACATATTTGAAGTAGATGTTGAAGCTAACTAAAAGGGTCTAAAGTTTACTATTAAGCAATCACTAATAGTTATAGAAATTTCCATTCCAATGCTAGAAATAATGGTGGATGATAGCCATTGTTTCTTTTTAAACATCTAGTGTAACAATAAACCAGCAACCTATATATTAGAAATTTGTCTCCTCAATGCGCGGGTCAAAAGCACAAGAAAAAGGATCATCCTGACCGAGAAATGAACATACATCCAGGACACAAAGGTAAATTCTCAAACACAAATTATGTTTACCAAAGGAGGACTAGTTACGAAGCAAACACAGCAAGGTGATCATTCTTTTTGTGCTGATCCAACGCTTTGTTTTTGAATATATATTCTGATCCTATACTTAGGAATGCATATCATTATCATTTCATATATGTTATATTTTCCCACACACTTAGTTATCTACTCTAAATGCCAGAGCTGTACATGTCATGATATCCATAAAAAACACAATACCCTGATCCAATATCTGGTCATAAAATTGGTTTCTGGAGCCCAAATAACTTTTGGTCAGATTGGCATTTATAATTGAATCCATATCCGAATAGTATGAATCCTGTTATGATATCACATGAGTAGATAACTAATTAGGCGCTAGAATGACTCATCTTCTGGGTAACACCATGTAATCGAATTTAGTCTATTCCAAACATGGAAGGCTCTTTCTAAGGTAATTAATTATAGTTTCAAAAAATCAAGCGAAGATAGTCTTCAAAGTCCAAAATATATCAAAATAATATAAACAAGAATCAATCTCCAATTAATATTCAATTTAGTTTTTTTGGTGCTAAAGGATTTGGATGCAGTTGTCCCTTTTTGGTCCTAAACTATCAACTCAAAAATCTTCAAATTCCCGATCTCCATAAGCTTTCATAATGATAATTCTTTCCAAATAATTATTCTGTTCAGATATATTTAACGGAGAAAAAAATAAACACACTTGTCATTCCAATATAATAATCTATTACTAAAAAGAGAAGTCAGAAAACAATAATGTTATATCATCACCAAAACCATAGTTTTTTACATGAATTGTTGCAGCGGGGGGCTTCACAAACACAGAAGATGTCTATACAAGAATGAAGAGAAGGTTTTCATATTCAAAGTCAAGGTGGAGATTTGTTATTTGACTTTGAATTCAACTCACCAACACTATTACTGTTCTACCAACCCAAAACACTATTCGATGCTCTGACCCTTCACCACTCTCCTCTATTTATAGCCTTCAAAAGGATTGGTGGAACAATGTTTTGGGTTGGTGGAACAGTATTTTGGGTTGGTAGAACAGTAATAGGGCTAATGAGTTGAATTCAAAGTCAAATAACAAATCTCCACCTTGACTTTGAATATGAAAATCTTCTCTTCACTCTTGTTGTCTCGCTAGAAGCCCCTTACGGGCTTAACCTTCGCTTTGTTGAACTCCAAGCAATTCGAGACAATGCTCGAACTTGCGTGAAGGTACGAGCTTCGTCATCATATATGCTGGATTATCTGCAATACCAATTTTCTCAATCTTAATGACTTTAATTTCTCTGATAAAATGATAACTGACATCTATATATTTGGTTCTTTCATGATACATCTGATGCTTCGTTAAATGTATAGCGTTCTGGCTGTCACAAAATATTGTAATAACACATTGGTGTAAATCGAGATCTTCAACCAAACCTCTTAACCAAACAGTTTTTGTCACTGCCATATACTCTGCCTCTGTGGTAGACAAAACAATTGTCAACTGTAGAGTAACGTTTCAACTAATGGCATTATCTGAAAGAGTGAATATATAATCTATCAGGGATCGTCTCTTATCCAAATCAGCCGCATAATCTGAATAAGAATAACCAAGTATTCTGCAATCTAAATTTGTGTTCCTGCCAAAATATAAATCAATATTAGTTGATCCTATCAAATATCTAAGTACACATTTCACAGCTTGTCAATAGACCTTTTCAGGCTTATCCATATACCGACTAACAACACTGACTGCATGTGAAATATCAGGACGGATGCAGGCCGTAACTTACATAATGCTTCCAACTGGACTCGCATAAGGAACACAAGACATGTACTGCCCCTCCTCCTCAGTCTGAGGTGACAATTCTGCTGAAAGGCGAAAATAAGCACCAAGCAGAGTTTTCACAGGCTTAGCATCAAGTATGTCAAATCCCTCCAACACCTTCTTGATGTATTTATCCTAAGATAGGAATAAATTTCATTCCAGCCCGTTTCTGTGGATCTTCATCCCTAATATCTTCTTTGCTGCTCATAAGTTCTTCATCTCAAACTAATGTTTGAGTTAAGATTTTAACTCATTGATTTCTGACATATCTTTAGCTGCAATCAATATGTCATCAACATACAAAAGTAAATACACAAAAGAACCATCATTGAGCTTTTTATGATAAACACAACTATCATATTTACTCCTAGAATAACAATGCTCAAACATGAAAGTATCAAGTCTCAAATATCACTTTCTCAGAGACTGTTTCAACCCATAAAGAGATTTCTTTAATCTGTACACATAATCTTCTTTACCTTCAACAATGAACCCATCTGGCTGATGCATAAAGATCTGCTCGTCATGTGGAAAAGGCGTCTTCACATAAAGTTGCTCAAGCTCTAAATTAAAATGAGCAACCATGACAAGAAACACGCGGATTAAGGTGTTCTTTACAACTGGAAAGAATACTTTATTAAAGTCCACACCTTCTATCTGCTGTAGCCTTTAGCTACCAAGTGTGCATTGTACCTTACAAAATCTGTATCCGGAGCTCATTTTTTCTTCTTGAAGACCCATTTACAGCCAACAATTTTCCATCTCCTTGGTGGCTTCACTAACTCCCATGTCTGGTTCTTGTGAAGAGACTCCATCTCTTTAGTCATTGCAACAATCCAATTTGCAGCATCATTGCCACTAATAACCTCCTTCTAGGTAGAAGGTTCTGAAATCTCAATCGATTCAGTTATGTTCAAACTAATAATAAATTTAGGTGATTTGGGATCAAAGCATCACAATATATATCTCTTCACCCTAGTAGCATATCCTAGAAAGATAGCTTCCTTTGCTCTAGGTTTAAGCTTACAATCATTAACATGAAAATAAACAGAGCAATCAAATACTCTTAAACGAGAGTAATTAGCAGGGACACCAGACCATACTTTTTCTGGAGTCTTAAAATCAATTGTTGTAGAAGGAGATTTGTTTATCAAATAGCAAGTTGTATTGACTGTCTCGACCCAAAAGTCGTTTAACAAACCGGCATTAGAGAGCATTCACCGATCTCTCTCTAAAAGTGTTATGTTCATCCTTTCTGCAACTCTATTTTGTTGTGGTGTATGCCGAACTGTACGATGACACACAATATTTTCATTCTTGCAAAACTGATCAAACTCGGTGGAGCAAAACTCCATTCCATTGTCAGTTCTGAGGCGCTTCATTTTTTTCTGTTTGCTTCTCAATCATAATATTTCATTACTTGAAGGTTGCAAACACATCACTCTTATGCTTCAAAGGATACACCCAAATTTTTCTGGAATAATCATTAATCAATGTTAGCAGAAATCAAGTTCCACCTTTCAATGGAACCTGAGAGGGACCCCATATATCTGAACGGATATAATCTAAAGTACCATTGGTTCTGTGGACATCGGTACTAAAGGAGACTATGGTGTTTGTCGAAAATACAATGCTCACAAAAATCTAGCTTACTAGTTTTCTGATCACAAAACAGACCTTGTTTGCTCAATACATCTAGTCCTCTCTCACTCATATGCCCTAACTGCATATGCCACAAACGTGTGGTGTCAGAATCTGAATCCTCTAAGGATGATAGTGCTGCAACACCCGTCACTATGCTACCTTCAAGGACATAAAGGGTATTTATCTTCTTTCCTTTCATCACAATAAGAGTATTTACTAACTCTCAAAATTTCACCTTCAGCCGAAAACTTAAAACCATTTGAGTCAAGGGTGCCTAAAGAAATGAGGTTCTTTTTAACTCTGGTATATAATCGGATATTACTCAATGTTCTAACAATACCATCATGGGTTCTAATTTTAATTGATCCGATACCAACAGTCTTATAAGGCATGTTATCTCCCAACAAGACATGTCCATTATCAATAGACTGATATGTGACAAACCAATCCTATGCAAACACATATGGTAGGTATAACCCAAATCAAGAACCAACCCAAACCAAGAACCCACTCATTTTGTGAATGAGTATTAACACTAACTGAAAGAACTTCATGTGAACTAGAGGACTCTTCAGTTACAGTGACAACTGAAGGTTTCACCTCCCCAGACTTTGACTGTGAATTATCATTTGCTTTGAGCGCTGGACAATTAGGTTTTATATGCACATACTTGTGACAGTAATAACATTCAACATTTTTTCTTAATCTGGACTTTGATCTAGACATATTTCTAGATTTGTCTCTACCACCAACACCCTTTTTAGGACGATCACAAGCGAGTAAGCCTTCAGCTTGACCCTTTCCTCCTACGATAGACACTTTCTATCTTAACTTTTTTGAATGTAAGACTGATTTAACATCCTCCAAAAAAAATGTATCTCTACCGTATAACATGCTACTAGTAAAATTCTTATAAGAAGGTAATGAACATAACAAAATAAGGGATTGATCTTCTTCATCAATTTTAACATTAATATTCTTTAAATCTATAAGAATAGTATTAAGTTCATCTAAATGGCCTTTAATCCGCATATCTTCCTTCATGCGAAGGGTGAAGAAGCGTTGCTTCAAGTAGAGCTTGTTCATTAGAGATTTCATCATGTACAAGCTCTCCAACTTGAGCCACAAACCGACAGCGGTATCTTCATTGGCAACCTCCAGCAGGACCTCATCGGCCAAACAAAGTTGTATAGCACTATGCGTTTTCATCTCCAGTTCTTCTTTCTCATCATCAGGCATAGATTTTGACAACTTATCATTTTTGGATAAGATTTTGAACAATTCTTGTTGTATTAGGAGAGCTCTCATTTTTACTCTTCATAAACTGAAGTTGTTTCTCCCATCGAAGTTTTTCACTTTGTATTTTGCAGAAGATATCTTGAAGCCCACTAAAACAGTAACTGTAATTGTAAACAATAATCGTACTTGTAAATAGTAACAGTATTTATGAATAGTATCGTACTCATGAATAGTATGCACTATCTTTAAAAAGTAAATGATAATCTAACTTATTTTCTGATGTGGATGATCCACTTTTAGTGACAGCCACAGAGTATACGATAAACAGATACACGCACTCTAAGTCAGGCTCTGATAACAGTTTGTTGCAACGGGGGCTTCATAGACACAGAAGTTGTCTATACAAGAGTGGAGAATAACAATACTAAATAAACACAGTGAAGATAAAGAGAACAGCACACAAGGATTTCACGCGGTTCGATCAGTATGACCTACGTTCACGGGCGAGAACAGCAGAGAACTTTACTAATCATAAAAGAAAAGATTACAAAAGGAGATCACTCTAATATCTCACCAAACTCACACAAAGGAGAGAACACTCAAAGAGAACTCTCTTTTTCTTTTTCTCTTCCTCTTCAACTCTCTTTCTTTTTCTCTCTGCTCTGGATCTCTGTTCGATGCTCTTAACCCTTCACCACTCTCCTCTATTTATAACCTTCAAAAGGGTTGGTGGAACAATGTTTTGGATTGGTGGAACAGTATTTTGGGTTTTTGGGTTGGTAGAATAGTAAGACCATCTTCAATGGCAAGGCAAAAATTGCCTTTCTCTCTCCTTCCACCTCACTTTATTCTCCCTCCACATCACTTGCCTTTTTCAATTGCCTTTCAATTCCACAACAACTAATTTTTCAAAAAGTTTTTCACTTTATCTTTCCTCCACATCACTCAATCATGATAATTAAGTAAAAAATTAAGTTTTATTTTGGTGTCCAAATAACACAAACCCAAGCTCTATTAATAGATCTTGAAAAATAATAAATAGTGGTGAAAAAATAAAAAATTAATTTCGAGTAATTATTGATCAAAACAGTCATTTAAAAACAAGGTGAGAATAATTGTAAAAACTTTATGATACGCGGGGCCCAACAAGAAATTTAACACAAAGGCAAAATTTGCCTTCCATTGTCTTTCTCTCTCCAACTTTTTCATTTGCCTTTCAATTTGCCTTGCTATTGGATGTAATAATTTTTGAGTTGCCTTGCCATTGCACTTGGTCTAATAGAATTGGTGAGTTGAATTAAAAGTCAAATAACAAGTCAATGTGGAGATTTGTTATTTGACTTTGAATTCAAATAACATGAATAATCCTACAATCCCATTTATATAAAAAAAATACTTAAAATGCAACTCAAAGGGTACAGATTCAAAGTCCTAAATTCTTACAAGTTCCCAAGGGTAAAAAGATTGCTGGAAGATAGAATAAATCAAAAAAGCCACGTAGCCAAGAAGAAACCCTCCAAAAACACTCTGCAACAATCGAAAAAAAATCTCTTCATCAGTAAATTTTTGAATAAAAAAATAAATCAACAAAAATTATGGGATGCAGCTCAGTTTACCCTCCAAAGGCGGCTCTGATGAGCGTGAGTCTTCTCGAAAGCCCTAACCATCTCCTCTTGTTCTGAAAAAGAGGGGGGAAATGGGAATTTTAGGGTTTAGCGAGATTTCTAGGGTTTAGAGAAGGCGAGTGTGACCTTGGGAATCGATCGGTTGGAATTCATCGCGAGTTGGGAGAGAGAATCGATCGCGATCGCCGTCGCCATCTCCTCCTTCTGATCGGCCTCGGCGACCACGCTTCCACCATTTTCTCGTTAGCTGCTGCATCTCATCTAACTTGGATTTGTTTGTAATTAAACAGAATTCGCGTCTTGGGGAGGTTAATTATATATATATGGAAAGACTTTTTAACTGGTGCCCTTTGCATAGATACCCCCAAGACCTTTAGAAATGACATTTAACATCCCTAATTTTTAGGTGACAAATAATTGCGTGTGAAAATGTAATATCTTTCAAAATTTTCGAAATTCAACCGTCTTGTTTCCATACGTTGACGTCATGGAGCTAACATGTAAATAACTCTGTTAATGGATAGATTGTAACATGTAATAATGCTGTGTGAACACGCTCTCAGTCTCAATAGCTCCTTTTGTATTAGGATTAAAATCCAGTTAGTTGTACAATGTTTGCCAAGAGGGGTTACGAATAAGATTTGAAGTGATTCGGAAGGATGCAGTTTGTTAATGACTGTGGCTTTCGGAGGGTGGAATTTGAGTGGGACTCTGAGCAAGTCATCAATGATAGAAGGCGACGTGGAGATCAAAGCTCTGTATTTGGGTATATGATAAATGACGTCATTTCTGAATGCCACGGTCTGGAGCTATGTAGTTTTAAGCGCGATGCATAGAACTGGGAACAAGGTTGCTCATATATTGGCTTGCCATATTACGGAAGTCCACGGATTATATGTTTGGATTGAGGACCACCCAGCATTCATTCAGAGGCAACTACAAAATGAAAAGGCTCAAGACTGATTTATTATGTTGTTTTTTTTAGTGCTCTAATGTATAGTTATGGCTTTGTTTTTTGTCTATCAATAACATTATTTAAAAAGAAAAGCAACCAACCAGCTTCTATTTGATTATAGTATTGCTAGTAATAAAAGCCAAATTTCCAAAGATCACTATAAATTTCCAAAAACAAACTTCTCATAATTCTTCGGTGTAACTTTAACACATCATGTTAAAGAATCATAAAATTCAAAAACCTAGGCAGATTTGCAATAATGATGTAAACCGAATGTTTCATGATAGCCATTAAAGAACATTGACAAAGTTGACAGATTTTTAAAATCGTCTTAATAAATAAGTCAAATGTGAATTTTTTGCATCCTACAGGAGGGAAATAAGCAAATATAGAAAGGGGTAAAAAACTCAATTCATTCTCCTTTCTTGCAGTCTAATAATAAAACTCAACTTCAGGGTATGACAAAACCATCTATACATAAGACAGTCGATTTTTTTTTTACATCGCTCTCAAAAAAGAACTTTCATCTGGACCAATGATTGCTTGACACCAATATTTTGGCAGCTCAAAACATTGATTTCAAAGGATAAAATTCATTCATGTATCTCACCCTCTTCAAACAAGTCATCATAGGAGACCGGTACTCTCACCCTATCATGCACTGATACCCGCCCTTTGATGGAATCAGGCAGTTCAGGTGCACTTTGTACCTCAGAAATGCGCTCAGAACCATTGAATACTTCTTCCTCTGTTGCCTGATCAGGAGCACTGGTATTTGGCGAGACTGCTTCTTCGTTCGTGTTTGTCTTTTGCCTTTTCTTCGGCTGCAAAAGTTGTTTCTGTGAAGATGTGAAATTAATCATCAGAATTGCTTATTATTGATACATATTCAAAATTAAACAGAGCCAAATGATCACCAACAGAAAACAAGGGACCAGCATTCACCAAGTGGCTAATGCATAACTATGCTTACGTAACTATCTACCTTAACCAAAAAGTGTTACCTTTCCCAATCTCTATTGCTATGTGAGATGGTATCAAGTTGCAAATCAAGAATCAAATACCCACAACTCGAACGTCGTACATAATGAATAAAATATTTGTGAATTTACCGAGGAATAAGCAGGGAGTTGAGTTTGTCTATAATTGACCTATTACTATCTACCGTTCATGTATTAATGTGTGATTATACTATATGAGCAAGAAGGGAAAGAAATAAATTAAAAAGAAAAGAAAAGGGTCCATTTAGAACCCAGTCGTGGGTTCAACGGATTTTTATTTTTAAAACGTTTGTTTCGATCCGAAACACAAATCTATCAATTACCCAAGTTCTAAATGCATAATAGAGGCCATTTAGAACCATTTCTACTCAAAATAAACCATCATTCCTAGAGCTACCGTTGCACGGTTTCAAGCTTCCTTTCGATTCAAGAATCACTCTATTCCGAATCTCATAATCATTCAGAAGCATCACAGCAACATTCTCTACCAAATAGATCTCCAAATCACTCAAAACATTGCTCAAATGTATCATCTATGAAAACTAAGACATGGGTCCTACCTTTTTTCCAAATTGAATATGATTAAATTTTCATGTTACCACTTATAGAATATGTGTCTCCATTACATGATTCATGATGTTATATGCAAGACCTAGAATACACCGAAACCGATGCATGTTTATGCTAGGAAAACGTGATATGACTGCGATGTGTTTGAATGATATACATGAGACTTGGCCCTAGAGGTTTGCATGATAGGCACCATGATATTAGACTATACATGATGACGATGAAATGTTTAGCAAGTGTTAGGTGTGTCCTTTGTGACACCAACCCGATACTACATTGTAGCGTCTTATGACACAATCTAGTACAAGGACAGTTTGGGATACAAGCTTTCGGTGAGTGGGGGCTCATGTTCCTCCACCACTCTCAAGAACCAGGAGGCTATCACCGAAACCAATGCATGTTTATGCTAGGAAAACGTGATATGACTGCGATGTGTGAATGATATACATGAGACTTGGCCCTAGAGGTTTGCATGATAGGCACCATGATATTAGACTATACATGATGACGATGAAATGTTTAGCAAGTGTTAGGTATGTCCTTTGTGACACCAACCCGTTACTACATTGTAGCGTCTTATGACACAATCTAGTACAAGGACAGTTTGGGATACAAGCTTTCGGTGAGTGGGGGCTCATGTTCCTCCACCACTCTCAAGAACCAGGAGGCTATCTACTTCTCCGATTTATCTAATGTGTGATCCTTTCGAACACAAAGTATCAGCCATTAATGACTTATGTTTGAAATTCTTCGGCATGGACTCGTAACGTTGGAAACTCAGACGTAGAGGGCACCCACATGATGGATGTTTTCTACACCAGAAACAGGACACCCACAAGATTGGGGTGGATGTTTTCTATGGTTCAAGTCGCTTGGGTCTAGTGCATAACATATAACGAATAGCCACTAATTAAAAAATCACATGGGTAATTACGGGGGAAATGGAAACTTGTTAGAGTGTGTGATTCTTGGTTGTGGTTGAGCTCATCATATCATATGATTGGAGGAGAAACCAAGAACAAGCATGAGCCAAGAACAAGTTTCGGTGGACATACAACACACACTATTTATCCAGGACTTTCCCAAATAAGACATGTTAAAAGATGATATTAGTTAGTTAATCACACACTACCTCTACATCACACATGAGGGCTAGGTGCACTTTGGACATGATGATATAACCTGCGATACAGTGGTGTATCCAGAAAAATTTTATTTGTGTGTTTATCTTGTTATCTGTTTTCATCTGCATGTTTTCTTAGACATCTGCATTATAAGATGTTACCATATATATGACATTCTTGTTCTTCACTAGCCATGCATCAATAATAGACATTACATGTGCACACAACCTCCTTCATTTTACACACTTGCTAAACAACTCGCTAACTACCCTGCTTTTGCATAACCAGCTGCAAAGCCAAGGTCTTGTGGGATATATGTTGTTAGACATGTTTATCTTTGAATTATGTATTTGAGGCCGTAGTGCCATATTTCAAACTTTTATGTATTCTGAACATCTTATGTATATGGGACTTGTGATATTAGTCTATTCAGTACTTTTGCTTCCGCTTGATGTCGATATATTGTGATATATGTTTCTGCATATGAGATGGTGTAGAGGTCTTTATGAACTTAAGTATATGTTTTTGGGTGGAGTTTGCCTTATTGCATATGCTTGCTAGCCTAGTCACATACTCGCAGCGATGCGGCATGATATTAAGCCGCGGGGGTGACAAGGTTTTGTAAGTTCCCTTTCCCGTCCACATGTCTGTATTAAATTCCTGAAAGACGAAAGTATTGTCCCGCTTGAGATGAATATTTCTCTTTCATACATTGCAACAGAAGTGCAGCAACTAATCTGCCCTTAACCGCCTCAAAAGAAATTTTCCCCCCTCATATGAAAGATTCACTTCCTGTAACAAGTTCTTAAAGCACATTCTTTGACAAAAGATCAAAATAAATATCCTAGCCCTCCCTCTTTGATGCATTCAGATTTATCTCCTTTATTGAATTGGTTTCTCAAACTTATTTAACCAACAATACCATCTGAATTCATTCTGCAATTTGTCAGTAAAACTCAGATGCTGGCGCAACTGGAGTTAAGCTGAGCTGAGGCCTAATTCCAGGTAACTCCAGCCAACCGCATAAAAATAATCTGGAGTTAATGGTGATACGACCTACATTTAAACCTCTCTTGACAAAGGAGGCCTATGCTATCTACAGTCGCAATTACTGAGAAATAAAGAGGGTGGAAACAAACAGGTAAGCCAGATATTTGAAAGATAAATCAATTTTTAGCTAATCTAGAAAGAATCAGGTTGATTCAGAAGTTCTATTGTGGGAAACAAGGAATGGAGAACAATCAAGACAATATACAGGCATATAAAATGAATAGCTTTATTTAGCTAGGCTTTGACTTAGTAAGATATTGAACAAGGAATAAACGGCCTAGAATGACATCCTTAAAACAAAAAAAAGAACAAAAACAGGATTTACTTTAAGGTTGAAAAACAAAACTTTATGGAAAAGTAAAAAACTAAAACACCTAACATCATTGAGCAATTAATATATATGCAGACAATAACTATTATTTTCCAATAAGATCAGAAAAGTTTTATGATGGAACATTTATCACTAGATTAGAGACAGACTAGGTGGGACTTATTACCTAGTGAATTGTGAATGACATGCAAATCAGACATAAATGCATTGAAACACAAGGAACACCCTAATGCATACCTCAAACTCTCTCCCCTTTGCCATTATTTCCTTGTATGCCTTTGGCTCACGTGTTTTCAAGATATTCCATAGAATGCCGCCACCAGTGCGGAAGCGACTTTCATCAGCAGTCTTCTGTCCTCCACATCTCTGAATGGCATCCACCTATATGGAAACAACTTTTTGTTGAGGAAATTTTTGGGAAACAAATAAGGAACTGGAATTTACTGATGCTGAATAGATGCTGTAACTAAAAAACGAACTCTTACAATAGAGACAAATTAAACCCTAATAGATCTTTCAATCTAAGCCCCTGATCCACATGAAAAGGACTGCACAAATCTAGGACCATCTACTTTTAACCGCTAAATTAACAAATGAAAAATAACAGATGCAATATGTGAGTTCTTCTTAAGCAGTCAAACGACCAAAAAGGGATGTGTAACTTCTATCAAATAGCATGCAGTTACTGTATATTGAAGACACTTGATAAGTTCTCCTTTTTATTCTTCACCCTCAAATTCTAATTATCCACGACTGGAAAGTACTTTGAAATAAATAGATAATAAACATTTAAACGCAACATGGTATAAGAAGTTTATGACTAAAAATACTGCATACCATGTTGGTCATTTGTTAATCATGTAAAGACCTGCTGGAAAAATCAGCAAGTCAGAAAAAATGTTTGCAGGCTTCTTTTCCCTTAAAACGAGTTTATCTATTCTCAGTGGTTTTCAAATACAAAATTAAGCATAGAGTGTCAAAGTGCATTAAGAGCAAAGCAAATACCTTCAGGTTCCAAGTTATTTCAATTCAACGCGAGTTCCAAAATGATATAGGACTGATGAGCAAAAGGCTTCGGAATGGAAAAAGTTCCATGCTGTATAGTGCAGAACCCATAAACCAAATTTATAGAACATAAGCCTATCACCAAACTTGTCCATTGTGCATATCCACATGAGGGTAATTACAGGAAATTTTGAAGAGCATTAATATGTACTTAAATCTACCATGAACAGAAAAATTCTACCGATCATGAGGAGGTTTCCCTCCTGATAAGTCTCATTTGATTTTGAATGGTAGAGTTGCTAGATTAAAAAATACCCATAAGACCCCTTTATCCACCAATCTGTTTCTCCCTTCAATGCTCCCTCCATCTTCTCTTGCACTGAACCACTGTTTTAAAAAACCTCCGCCTAGTGCGCTTAGGCGTACGCCTAGGCCTAGGTGGTACCTAGGCCGCCTAACTAGCGCCTAACGCCTAGGCGGTATTTAGGCTGCCCACCTAGATTTTACAAGCGTTTAGGAGAGCATTGTCTGCTTATGTGGATTACACCCTATATGTCTTGGTTGTGATTTTATGTGTTGTAGCCTACACGTCCTCCAAACTCCATTAACCTCTAAATATGAACACATCCACTACCTCCTCCGACCTTCAGCAAAACCTTAATCGACCACCACTTAAATGAAGAAAGAAATCCGCCTAGACACCAGTCTGATATCTAAGCTTTATATAACATTGACATTCACTATCAATTATTGTAATTAAAAATAAAAAAAGAAAACATCTTAGGCTCTAGCCTTGTTAATTATTGTTTTGGCTATTTAGTATCTAAGTATGCATGATTTATTGTGGAACTAAGGTTGCTATCTTTTTTTAAAAATTTATATGAATTTAATACATATTTTTATCAATTATTATAATTAAATAATTTAAAAATAGTCAAACGCCTAGGCGCTGCATAGACGTATGCCTAGGGGTCTAGGCGTTAGGTGTTCGCTCAAACGCCTAGTCTGCCTAGCACCTTCTGTAATATTACCGAGCTCCCCCGATTTATGTAACTATTAACAAGGTAAATAGTACTTTTTAAATATCTATTTAAGTTAGTTAACAACAATAACATAAACTTAAGAAGTGTAAGTTAACAGTAAACTTAAGTTTAAGTTTAAGTTTAAGTTTAAGTTAAACTTAAGTTTAAGCTAACAATAAACTTAAGTTTAAGTTAATATTAAGTTTTTTGTTGATGGTAAACTTAAGTTTAAGTAAACAATAAGCTTAAGTTTAAGTTTATTGTTAACTTAAACTTAACAGTAACTTGTAATTCGAGTTGAGAATGAGTTTTGCACTGTTGAGATGAACTTATAATTTGAGTTGAGAAGTATAAACATACAAAAAGCTATTGTAATTGGTAACCTAAGCAATTTAGTTAATAATGTTGGTATTTTAGTATTTATGCATCTTTGATTGAGTATATATATTTATCTTCAAGTATCACAATTAAAAAAATAAAAAATAAAAAAACGCCCAGAAACCGCTTAGACGTCTGTCTAGGCGACTAAGCGCTAGGCACCAAGTCCGACGCCTAGAAACGCCCAGGGTTTCATTGCACTGAACAATGAAACCATCACTTCCAACCCCAACCATCTTGTCATCGATGTTCTTCAGAAGCCATCATCGAACTTACCTAACACTCTGGCAAAATCCCAACTTTCTCCCATAGGCGTAATTCTTTCTTTCAATTGATTTTAATGGAGAATTCGGAGATGGTTTTAATAAATCCCAGCAAAAATCTCTCTGTGCTCAACAATTTTGTAGGCACAATCACTCTTAGAAGAACCCACCATGAAACAAACTTCATTCCCATTTCTGTATGGTCAGATTATAAGCCTCGGTAAGATATCCAGATCAACCAAGGTTAATCATGCGCCTTTAATGCTAAATCTCAGCTCCGCACTAAGTCTTCTTCATTGCTTTGATTACTGTCAGCCCTCTCATTAAGGCCAGAGCGTCTATATGCAGATAGTATGAGGATAACAACTATGTGGCTTGATTTCATTCAGATTTTAACATTTCATTGTACTAGTGTGAACACCGTGCAAAGCACGGCATATTTTTTCCCCACTACAGTAACCCCGGTTTTAACTGCTACAATTTTCTTGGATTTTTTGAATTACTACAGTATCTCATCTCTGCTACAGTTTTCCCGTGTGCTGCAGACAGTATCCAGTTTCATTTTTACTACAGTTTTAGTGCTACAGTAAATGCTACTGTAGCATTTACTGTATCATGAATAGTGATTCTTGGGTTCTCTCATTTGTATAGAGGAATAGATACAGTGCAAGCTTCTTGACCTTGAGGGAGGGAGCGAATAAGGGGTAAGTGTAAAGTGTAAACTAGTCATATATACAAAAGAAAGGAATATTCCACATTTTTATTCTCAAACAGTACGGAGAAGATAAAATTTTGAAATACAGATGACGCGGAGAGCTAATTGGAAAAAATGATATTCTAAGCTACATTTTTGCACATGTGAAGAATTTGAAAGGTACACACATAAATACATACTTACTTGAAAAAGCATATAGAAATTGGAAATAGACCACCAAGCAGATCAAAACTACATGCATAAAGGAAAAGCCAAACTTTTTCTAAGTTATGAAATAATGAAATTGATTTTCAGAACACATGGGTTAGTGTAACATGTCACATTCTTTGCGTGATATGTCTTCTAGGTTGTACTTTGAGCGTTAAGTTTAATGCGTGAAAGGCAAATGTAAAATAACAAGCTCCGATGTATTATAAATATCATACCCCAAGCAGATGGTGTTGAAGTGAAAAACTATAGATGTAAAGTATTTTATTATCTTTCATTGATTTTATTATGTATTTATTTATTTTCCACTCATCATGTTCTTCCATCTTCAAATATTTCCAAGATCGTATTAATATCAAAACCGCCATAAAGTATAGGTCAAATAGTAGAATTTTCGTAAATTTTTTCAAAAATAGAGCGAACTTCGCACTGAACAAATAAACTCTTGAGTTTGATGTCATCACATGGATGAATCCGTGGACTTTTACAAAAAACATCCGAGTCGAAAAATATTCATGGCTAGGATTGAGATACATGTTGCTCAAATCAAGTGATGATCATATTGTTTCTTCCTTTTACACCTCTTACAGAGAGGTAAAGTTGCTCTTTCTACACAAAGGGTTAGATGCATTCTTATGGGACAACATAGCCAGATAAGAAGATAATTTGGCTTGTCCAGCCTCAAGTTTATAGCGATGAAAAGCAAGGGCTCCAACTATGAACAACTAATCATTACAAGGAGGTTAGCTAATTGATGCATAACTGTCAGGAATAAGAAGGCAGTTATCCTTGGAGATTCTTGATCAAGTTGATGGATGATGTGAAATTACGTGGAAGTTTAAAGGTCAAATATGAACCCCATCAACACATGAATAGAAATCAAATACTTAGGCTTCTTGAGTACCATGATCCCAGGCAAGACATTGTTCTCTTTTGATTTTATTCAGCAGCTGGTGCAGGTGAGTAATGAAAGGGAATAGCCAAAGCAAACAACAAAATCACAGGTGAAACTCAAAAAAGTGAACTTAAGGGCAGAGGCAGTCGCCCAAATTGTTCACAATCATTGTGAGAGCTCTAACTCACTAGTATAACACAACAATGAGAAAAGTTACAAAAAGAAAGTTTTGGAGTTCTACATACAGGGAGGTAATAAACGCGATCAAATTGGTCCAATGTCTATGATAGCATTAGCATCTCCATGGAACCAGATAAGGCTCACTTTTTGTCAATTCAAGGTATTAGTAACTCTTAGGCAGTTACTTGACTGCCCTTTTTATCATGTAGAAGGAGAGGATTTCATATTTGCTTTGAAGTGTATCTTCCCGCAAGAAATTAAAAGATGTAAAGGTTTCTTAAGCTAAATATATGTCAAATTCACTGCTCCCGAGTATAAACAGAGAGTTAACAACGAAACTAAGAAAAGTTATTTTATTTTATTATATAATAAGCAAACGATTCAACCATGGTCGAAGGTAAAAATTCCTCACTCATCATTTAAATCCAAGCCATGTGTGACAATCATAGTTAAACAGGAGTTTATTTCAAAATAAAAATCCAAAGGTCAAGTGCTTCTAGGCCATTATAGACATGTATTCATTCAGTAAGGCAAGAACATATATTATAAATTAATAATATTTGATTGAAAGTTGTTCATGATTCCTAACCTCCTGCCCATGAATTTATAGAAAGCCAACTTTAGTGCCTCTGGCTCATATAGGCAGAAGCTACATATCACACGACTTTCTTGTGGAATACACTGGGTGGAAACTGGGAGATGAACATCTAGTTTGAAGTTCAAACCCAGGAAATTACTCCCAAATTCTGATACAGTATTGATAATCTTCTCCAAAAGGTTAAGGCTTTTATATACTCAAACAAAAAAGCAAATACCCCTCAAAGTAGCATATTACCTCAGAAGCCAAAGTAAAAAAAGAACATTGATATGAAGTGCATAAAGATACATGAAAATAAAAATTGTTATTTCACATAAAAGGATACCTCTTTCACAAGATCACTAAAGGCAGACACACCAAGACAACCTATAGCATTCCAAACTAAGTATGACTTCCTCTCCTTTAATCGCTTGCATGTATCTATAACGAACCTGAAGAATACGAAAATCACAAAAGGTCAATGCCACTGAATGAACTAGTAGCAGGTGAAATAACTCTCAAGTAAAACATATTGTACAACATCTATTTTCAGTAACTGACCAGTCTTCGTGAAAACCATTAGATAAGTGGAATCAGATGCCTAAACCCACACTAGAGTCTAAGTCTAACCCCAACACGGGCTTCAAAAGAAAGGAAGCTGAAAGAAGTTGGAGATCGGAAGTACACGTTAAATAACAAAAAAATGTAATAACAAAACTGAATCATTCATTAAAAAATGGTTCTGATAAATAACGATGAGCATTTAATCTTCTCAAGGAAGCACACAGGTTTTATTGTACCTTGAAATAAACTTGCTTTCAGCAAAAATAAAGTCACTTCTGACAGAATTGAAGGTTATTACTACACTTATTTCATTTGCTGAGTGGAACCAGATGGTAGAGCAATTTCAGGGTAACTCGCAAATAACCCCCTCGTCCATATCTTCAAAATACTTTATCACCCCTCAACTATTTTATTAGCACTTAACACCCCTAAATTCATGGGACTGCGGAGGTGTCTGCAATTTATTCGTCTAAATATACCAACCCAGGGATTTTAAGTGCTAATAAAACAATTAAGGGGTGATAAGCGCTAGTGAAGGTTTACATGAGGGAATTTATGTAATTACCCACGATTTTTATTTTATAACTTTGTTCTATTCTCTTTGGCATGATATTTCTTTCTCATAGTTCCAATTTGTTGCCAAATGAGCAAGGCTTAGCCGCTCAGCAGAGGCTTAGCAGATAATTCCGATGGTAATAATTATCCATGAAATTTAGTGAACTTAATCAGTGAATATGTGAAGAATTGATCACTAACCCTAGCATGAGTATTGAATTCTTTCATACCCAATTGGGCCAGAAAATGCAATGTTTTCGAAAATTCTCTACAATCAGTGAGCTCTCTCAAGCACTTCTTTAAATGTCACAAATACTTACAATAACTTAGAAATTACAACCAAAAATTCCCATCAATTCAACATAGAAAAACGCCAAAATAGATTGCAACGTAAATAGAGATTAAATTTTACCGATTGATGTCGGTAATATTGGGAGCTGAGCCGCTTCTCCTCCTCCTCTTCTTCTTTTTCTTCCTCTTTCCCGCGCTAGGGTTAGGGTTCGTTGGACGAGGTCCGCCGCGTCATCGCCGCCGTTTTCTAGGGTTTCGTCGTCTTCGTAAATTGCATCTAATAAGCTCCCCTCGGTTCCCTCCATTGAGAGACGCGAGGGTAACGAAAGCGACGGTGGTGTATGTATATAGAGCGAAAGTCGAATGCTAGGAACTAGGGCTGTAGGTGGATCGGGTTAACGAAGTTCACCCGCTGTAAACTTGAACGGATCCGCAACCTAGAAATGTTACTATTTAAGGGTTTTACTGTACTGGACCCCGAATCTTCTTTAATTACACACAAATTTATTGATTAGAGCATCTCCAACAGTTTCCCCAAAAATTTCTCCAAAATGGGGAAGCAAAAATCATATTCTTCAAATTATTTTTGTTTCAACTCTAACAGCTTCCCCATTTTGAAGAATCTTGTATTTATTACAATAATAAAAATATTATACATCCCTATTTTGGGATGCTCTTATGCATTGAATTGCCCCCATGTCTTTTTCTGTAATTACAGATTTTATTTTATATTTATTTTCTCCTCCAACCCGTTTTGAAGAACGTGCTGCATTTATGACAAAGCTCTTCTCAAATATTTGAAGAATGCCCCAGATTTGGGGAAGACTCCCCTTTTTTTCTCATTCATCCCTATTTTGGGGAATGAGATGGAGAATCTGTTGAACCAAAAAAAAAACCAAAATTCTCCAAAAGTGAGAATACCAATAAAATGAGAAAGCTGTTGGAGATGCTCATACGCCACCGAAATCTTCTTAAAATTGCATATAGTTCTATGAGAATGCTTGGGAACTTTAGATCATAACTCCCTCGTGTTATAATTCACAAATAGATTGTAACTTTAAGGGGTTGTTTGGTTGGCAATTTTTGCCCTTTTTTCCTGTCAAAACTGACAAACGTTATCAGTTTTGGCAGCTTCACTTGCAAAAACGCCCCAAAATAGGCGTTTTTACAAGTAAAGCTGTCAAAACTGACAGCTTTTGTCAGTTTTGGCAGGGAAACCCAAACAAAAAAAGCCAACCAAACAGCCCCTAAGTGGATTATAATTAGGAAAAATTATGTCTAGGCTTCAGATTAAGAATTGATCTGGCTCATTGACCAAACTTAAACGTGTTTAGGCTCATTTTTCCATCTTGTCTTTCTTATCTCTTAAAATACTCTTTATCTTCTTCTTCTTTTCCTCATTCATTCTCATGTCAACGTTTTTCATCCATTCTTTCCCATCCCTTCTCTCTCTTCCATCTTACCTCCTCCCTCATTCTCTCTTCTCCATACACTCTTCTCCATACCGACTTCGTTCTTCTCTCTCCTCCATTTCAACTCAGTTGTCATTCCTTCTGCACTAAATTTTCTTCTCCTTCCACCCTCTATCTTCTCTGTCCCATCTTCATCTTCATTGTCCTTCCTCCACTTTCATCTATGCCTTCCTTTTATCTCCTCGTTCATCTCATCTCCACCTTACTCCCCTCTCGTACCTTCCATTCTGTGCCACAATAGCTGCAACATCTTTCAAATGTGTTAACTTTGCTTAAACGAGGCATCTCCTAAATCTTGCCGAAGTTAACACTCAACAAATAAAGTTAACACCTATCAGTAAAACTTAATAGCTAATAGTTAAACTTAACACATAGTGTTAAAACTTAACACTTAAGTTTTTTAGTTAAGAGGTGAGCTTTGTAGTTGACAAAAATAAATAACAATTAATCTTTTTCGTCGTCATAGAATCTCCTCCATCATTTTCCTCTTACCTCAATCATATTTATTCTTTATTCTTTCATAATGGCCGTCGTATTCTTCAAATATGGTCTTCTTGATTAAGACGGATTTTTAGTGTGAATTTTATTATTTGAATGCTAGTTTTGATTAATATTGAGTGTTAACTTTAAATTTCAAGTGTTAAAATCTTTATAGTTTTTAAAGTTGATACTTAATTTATAGTTAGGTAAAGTTAACACAAAAAGGCCATCTAAGCTAATGGGCGTGACAGATTTGTAGAAGAAGAAGAGAAAGAGATGGTAGATGAAAGAGAAAATACAATTACGACAGGTTTGACAGTGAAAAAACTTAATTATTAGTTTATTTTGCACATTACATGTTAATTGTAAAATTTACATGTTTCTTTTTAAGCTAATTTGTTAAGTATAAATATTGCGTGTTAACTTTAACTGTTAGATGCTAACTTCAACAGCTAAGTGCTAACTTCAGATGGCCTGTTTAAGCTAAAAACAACATGCTTTTGAATGATGTCACAACGATTATAGAAGAAGAATGAGGAGTGATGGTTGAAAAAAGAAGAAAATAACGGAAAAGTTGGCGTGGTGGTATAAAAGATAAGAATAACAAAATAATAAGAAGAAAAAGAAGAAAAAAACAATGAGAAAAGGTGTGGCGAAAGAGATATTGGGGAGAAGGAGGAGAAGAAGGAAATATATTTTTATGAGTTCATGAGGAAAAAAAGAGATGTGTAGTTGAGGTTGAGGGTAGTTTGAGGATAAAGAAAAGTTATCTTCCCTCTTTGTCATGATGACGACATAAAGAGAGATTTTCACATGAGAAAGGGGGTCGAGGGGAAAGCACATAGAGAAAAGTTTTTTTTTTTGGGGTGGGGGGGCAACACATGAGTTTTTTTTAAAAGTGCACTAGGTATAATTTTTCCTTATAATTATGAATTATAACGCAAGTGAATTATAATTTAGAGTGTTTGGTGAATTTGACGGGTTATAATATGTTTTTAATATAAAATAGTTGATAAATGGATGAATTATAATATATAACTTGCGCATTGGCATGTGCGATGCACGTGCAATATTAAGTTATGTGATTAGTCTTATATTTCATGTATTAGTTTGATGATGATTTAGTTTATGCAATTTTATTATGGACCTCTACATAGAAAATGCATCTTAAATAGTTATTTTAGCAATTAAATATATACTTAACACAATTTTGTTCACAATTTTGTTGAGTAATTTCCTAATTGAGGATAATATAATTAAAGCAAACGATTGAAAAAAAAGAAATTAGAGATATTGCAATTCCATTATGTGTGTGTTATCATTTCATGATTTATAATGTTCCGGAAATAAGAAAGGCAAAATGAAAAGGAAAGAAAAGAAAATAAATATTTCCCATGAAAACTTACAATCTTAATTATACGAGTTTAAATTCTATTCACATGTCATTATTTGGAGTCTTCTAGAAAGAATAATGAAAAGAAATGAAGGGAAAAAATGTCTCTCATAAAATTATCATTTTACCCTCTAAATCACAATAGAAATGAGGAAAATATCCTCCACTCATCCAACTTTTAATACCCCCATTATGTTCATTGTATGATAGTATAGATTATTGTCAAAATGGATAAGTAACCATGAGGCCGGTGATGAGTTATTAAATGAGATATATGAGCTTATGAAATCATGAAAAATATATTTGCCTTCTACTTATCATGGATTATAATCCAATTTGACCAGTTGCATAACGTGTTCCATATTAGAAGGTTAATTATCTTAAATTGCTTTCATAACACCCCTCAAATTCCGTCGCTTTCCACCGTACTGTGGTTAATTCTTGAGCAAATTAGCTAAACTATATTAATCTCCTTCTAATTTGTGCGAGAAATTGAGAAGATAGAAGTTAGGAAAACAATGTGAAAGAGACCATGAACGGTCAAATCAAACCAAAAAAAAAGCAGCGCACGCGTTGGATAATGTAGGCCACAGTCACTGACTAGTAACCACCCGAGATCCTGAACCATCTAGAACGAAACCGCCGTACGCCTCTCTTTTCTTATTCTCCTCCGCGGCTCACCGCACCTTCAGCGTCACCCAAGAGCAAAAGCAGCAAGTCATCCAAAAGGTCACTAAAGCCCCCTTCCCTTTTATAACCCTCGAGAGGAATAGAGAAATCAAAGATTCGCGTGAGAGAGGAGGAAGATAATGGCGTGCCTTCACGATCACAGCTGCGAGGATCACAATTGCTCGTCGGATTGGTCCCTTTATCAGCACATCAACCTCCCTAGGGTTTAATCTCTCACTCCCTAATCTTGTTTCGCTTTTTTTTGGATATTGTTTTGATTAAAATGGTGATATTCTAGCAAATAATTCGATGCTAGCTCTGACATTTTTATTCATGAAATTATGATTACTATTGTGGATTTCTGTGAATCTGCTGTTGAGTTGGAACTTGGAAGTTTCTATGATTAATCAAAAAGCCCTGATGTTGTTATAGTGGTAAAGTGTTTTGTATGGTGGACTCTAGTACAGCTTTACCGCTTGATCTCGGGCTTTTCCAGTATAACACCCAATTGGCCCTCTTGGTGATTTTATATAATAAAATGTTTTTTTAGCAATGGGCAAAATATTATGCACGTAAGTAATGTTCGCGGGAAAATTCGTTGCTTTCTTTGTTATTGATTCCATTGTCATCTTGAGTTACAACTTTTTGAGTTACAAAAGATCCGGTCTTTTTATAAGATCCGGTTACAACGAAAATCAAAGAAAAATAAACAAAGATTACAATTTGTTTCCTTTTGTGTCGAACGAATCACGAGCTCCTGTTTTGCGGTCGCTCGCTTTGTGGGTTCTTTGCCTGCGCCAGGGTTGTTTGCCGTGGACCACCGCGCGATCTAGATCCGATCGGATCTACGCAGTACGACGGGTATTATTCCACGAAGGAAATAATAGCCGGGAGGGATTGATTCACCAAGGAAACAATCGCTCAAGTCTCGGGATCTAAGACCAAGCTTAGATCCGGAGTATGCCCGCGTAGATCTGAGATCTGATCCTCTCGAACACCTACCTTATTTGGCGTTGACGGTCGCCGAGCACCAGATCTGGATGAGCAAGTCCTTGAAGTCCTAAAGTTTGAATCTTGTTAAGTTCCGAGTCTCCAATCCAGCAGGGCTTCGCCTCTCCAAATTTTCCAACCCCTCAACAAATGAACCAAGGGGGCCTATTTATAGGCTCCCTTTACTGTGCCCGCGAAATGACAACTGTCGGCCACCTTGGGGTGGCCGCGAAATGACAACTGTCGGCCACCTCTGGGTGTTGTGGTTTTTGCCGATTTTTCCGGTCTCGTGATTCGGTTGATTTAGATCCCGATTTGGCAGTAAATCTGATTCCTGATTTGGCAGTAAATCTGGATCCTGATTAGGCAGTAAATCTGATTCCTGATTTGGCAGTAAATCTGGATCCTGATTAGGCAGTAAATCCGATTCCTGATTTGGCAGTAAATCTGGATCCTGATTAGGCAGTAAATCCGCTTCTGAGTTCGAGTCCGAAACTGATCTTGATTCGATCGTGATTCGTCCGAGTTTGTCCTTGGTTGGATCACTCGTTGACTCTTGGCCGATTCCGAATGCGAACGGATGTATTCCGTGGCTTGCGTGCGATTCGTCGATCTCGTCGCCTCGTTGGTTCGTCGGTTTGTGCCGAGCTGTGCTAAGGGACCTATAAGCAATTTTATATGCCTACAGATACCCCCTCCAAAGTATTTCAGTCTCGTTCTTTTATAGAAGAGTCTGGAATACTTTGGATATGATTGTCCCCACCTTCAGTCGGTGTAATGGGACCTTGGAATGACTTCCGTTCTTGATTCCTTCAATCTTCCAGGCTATTCGGTGCTTTGTCGAATGTCTGCAAGAGTTCCGGTGCTGCATTTATTGTCTGACCGTTGTCGGAAATTCGAACTTGAAGTCAATTCCTGGTTTTCTGATTTTTAGCTCGTGCTTGCTGGTTGAACACAGAACTGGCCCTCGACTGTCGGCGTTGAGTCTTTATTTGCGACGCGTTGTCCGGCGTAGTGTTGTTGAGTTATCCTTAAGAATGAAAATATTCTCCAGGAACTTCTCAACCAACAATAGGGAATAGTTTATACTCGTATACCTTATTGGAGTATTAAGAAGCAGTTTAACCTCATGCACTGTTGGAGGATTGAGGAGCAGTTTATACTCATATACTCTTCGGAGTGTTAGTTCTTTCATTGCAACGCATTGATAGGCGTTGACCTAGGGTTACGCGTTGTCCGGCGTTGACCTAGGGTTTTGAACGTCGTACGTTGATTTTTTGATCGCAACGCATTGACTGGCGTTGACCTAGGGTTACGCGTTGACCGGCGTTGACCCTAGGGTTTCGAACGTCGTACGTTGAATTTTTGCTCACAACGCATTGACTGGCGTTGACCTAGGGTTACGCGTTGTCCGGCGTTGACCTTAGGGTTTTGGACGTCGTACGTTGAATTTTTTGCTTGCAACGCGTTGACTGGCATTGACCTAGGGTTACGCGTTGTCTGGCGTAGACCTTAGGGTTTTGAACGTCGTATGTTGCCCAGGTCACGAGACCAACTAAAGAAGCTGATGCGTCAGTGACTTTCGTATTTATAGGATTTTTGGCAAACCCTCAGCCATTAACGGGTTTGATAAGCCTTTACCGACTACCGTTTGAGTCGGGCTAGCATGCGGATTGTTCAAGTCCGTTCCGCATGTGACGTTAAGCTAAAAGAGTTAACCCTTTTAGTGCTACGATATTGAATACGTAGACTTCGTCTTTCTCCTGTGAAAAGACTAAACAGCAACGTGTATCAGACGTTGACTTAGGATTTTTGGCAAATCCTCAGCCTTCAACGGATTTGACATGCTTTTACCGATTACCGTTTGAATCGGGCTTACATGCGGATTGTCTTAAGTCCGTTCCGCATGTGACGTTGTGCTAAAGGAATGAACTCCCTTAGACTTGATGCTACGACTTCGAATACGTAGACTTCGTCTTTCTCACGGGAATAGACTACCCGGCGACGCGTGTTAGGCGTTGACTTTAGGATTTTTGGCTAACCCCAAGCCTTTAACGGATTTGATTAGCCTTTACCGACTACCGTTTGAGTCGGGCTAGCATGCGGATTGACGAAATCCGTTCCGCATGTAACGTTGTGCTAAGAGAGTGAATTCTCTTAGACTTTGTGCTATGATGTTGAATACATAGGCTTCGCCATTGTTACGGGAATAGGCTACCCGGCAACGTGTATTAGACGTTGACTTATCCCTACTTAGGCTTCGGGATGAGATACCCCAGAATCGAACTCTGGTGTCTTTTTCAATCGGTAAAAGACTAAACCGGCGACACGTGTTAGGTGTCGACATATCCTTTCTTAGGATTCAGGATGACATTCCCCATGCGTGTAAGGCATGGATTTTGGTGTTATTAATAACAACCTGTCACAATGTTGAATATGTGAACGGGTGTTCTTTTTAAACGGTTAAGAACTGACCGGCAGCGCGTGTCAGGCGCAGACTTATCCTTGCTTAGGTTTCAGGATAGAATACCCCAGAATCGAACTCTGGTGTCTTTTTCTACGGGGAAAGACTAAACCGGCGACGCGTGTTAGGCGTCGGCATATCCTTTCTTAGGATTCAGGATGAAATTCCCCATGCGTGTAAGGCATGGATTTTGGTGTTATTAATAACAACCTGTCACAATGTTGAATATGTGAACGGGTGTTCTTTTTAAACGGTTAAGAACTGACCGGCAGCGCGTGTCAGGCGCAGACTTATCCTTGCTTAGGTTTCAGGATAGAATACCCCAGAATCGAACTCTGGTGTCTTTTTCTACGGGGAAAGACTAAACCGGCGACGCGTGTTAGGCGTCGGCATATCCTTTCTTAGGATTCAGGATGAAATTCCCCATGCGTGTAAGGCATGGATTTTGGTGTTATTAATAACAACCTGTCACAATGTTGAATATGTGAACGGGTGTTCTTTTTAAACGGTTAAGAACTGACCGGCAGCGCGTGTCAGGCGCAGACTTATCCTTGCTTAGGTTTCAGGATAGAATACCCCAGAATCGAACTCTGGTGTCTTTTTCTACGGAAAAAGACTAAACCGGAAGCACGTGTTAGGCGCAGACTTATCCCTGCTTAGGATTCGGGATAAACTTCCTAGGATGAATCCTGAATTCTTCGAAAAGGATTGGTATGGGGAAGGAAGAATTTTATATTCTATTCCCCGAACAAAGAAGGAAAGGAGACTCGAGGTGGGATCTCCACCCCCAGAATCCGGAAAGGTGAAACTAAGAGTGGGATCTCCACTCCGAGAATCAAAAAGATTCGGATAACCCTAACTGTCGGAAGGTTTGATTATCGAACTAAAGATGAATTTCTCGTTTATCGAGAATGAATCGTGGTTTTGGTCCTAACTGTAGGAAGGTTTGACCAAGTGGGAGGTTTGAGGTGACCCTAACTGTAGGAAGGTTTGATCACTCGATTTGAAAGTGGACCTCTCGTTCATTGGAGGAATCGAGAGGGGATTTCGGTTTTGGTCCTAACTGTAGATAGGTTTGACCGAATGGAAGGTTTAAGACGATCCTAACTGTAGGAAGGTTTGATCGCTTGATTTGTGGACCTCTCGTTCATTGGGAGAATCGAGAGGGGATTTTGACTGTGGTCCTAACTGTAAGAAGGTTTGACCAATCAGGAACTTTACGTCCAGACTCTAACAGAGAGAGTGTTGAGTGCACAGACACAGTGAGAACTTGAATGGGAGTCCTTATTCATTACATTGCTGTGGTTTTGGGAACTTCCCGTTACATAAATCGTCCACCCCCAGTTTCCTCTGCGGAACTGGTTCGGACATTATTATCAGTTAACTAACCGGGTTATCCTTAAGAATATTAGCTTAATATTCTCCAGGAACTTCCCGTCAAAAGTGGGGAAACAGTTTAGACTCATATACCTATTGGAGTATCAGGGAGTAGTTTAACCTCTTATACCGGTCGGAGGATTGAGAAACAGTTTATACTCGTATACTCTTTGGAGTGTCAGGAAGCAGTTTATACTCTTATACCGGTCGGAGTTTTGCCGTTTTTATTTGGCTTACCTTAGCGTTATAACGCCGGCTTCGACCAAGGTCTGAATGCTATTCCTGAGAGCAAAGCAATCCTTGGTGGGATGAACAACCCTTCTGTGGTATGCACAGTACTTTGGGTCCGTAGTGTTATCAGCTTCCTCCTGATTCGTGATAGGTGGTAGCTTGATCTTGTTGCCTTCGAGGAGCGATTCGAAGATGGTTGGAACGTCTTCGTCCTTGAAGGAATACTCTCTCTGGAGTCTCGGACCCGAAGTCTTCTGCTGCCTTCGGGATTGCTGTTGTGACGCTTGATTAGCACCACCAGCAGCTGCAGGTGCTTTGCCCTTACCACGGGAAGCGAAGTTTGAGTCCAGCAGATTAACCGTCGGTTGGTTCCTTTCGGCCTTCTTCCTTTTAAGGAAGCGTTCGGCTTGTTCACCGCGCACCTTCAGATCCTTCCAAGTGTCAGACGGTGCTGTCCCCATTGCCTCCAATACGTCCAATGCGAGGTTGTTGTGGCAAGTCTGGAGAATGAATTCCTCGGTGATCGGGTCCCGGCAATTCATCGCCTTGTTCCGGAACCTTTTGACGAAGGTGTCGACTAACTCCCCGTCTTTTTGTTTCTCGTCGAGCAACGATCCGATAGAGATCTCGGTGTCGTCGTCGAAGAAATTTGCAAGGAACTTCGTCTCCATGTCATCCCAGCTGTTCACGCTTCCTGGCTTGAGGCGACGATACCAATCGAAGGCAGCTCCGCGAAGAGTGCCGACGAATGACCGCACCATCAGAGGCTCGTTCCCAGAGATAGCACCCAGGTGCGATTTGAAATAAATCAAATGCTGGGTGGGGGAACCCCTTCCATCGAACGGCGTGAAGTTGATTAGACTAAACTTCGCCGGATAGGGGATTGATTCCCATTCCCTCGGGTATGGACAAGGAATGCCCGTTTTCTTTACCTCTTGAGCAGACAGCAACGTATTGATTTTACTCTCGAGGCTTTTGATCTTCAAGTCTTCACTTGTATCCCCGTTGGCATCCTCACTACCACCCCCTGCATTGATGGGAGGGTTATTGGCATTGTGAGCTTCATCCCCATCCGCGTGCTCCTTTTCCTGAGCAACCTGGTTACGGTGGCTTGGTTCACCTTGTTGGTTCCTGAATGCTTGGATTTGCTGTTCATGCATCTCTCTCATCTGCTGCATGGCCGTCTCCATCTCGAATTTAAAACTTTCTTTCTGCTTAGCCAAAGCGTCTTCAAGCATTTTGGCCATTTCTTCCGCGCCTATCATGAATGACTCGCGGGGTTGTCCTTCGCTGGACACTGTATTGTCCGATGCGACAGCAGAGCAGGAATCCGATTCTTCATCTTCCGAAGGCAATCTTATCCGAACCCTACCATAAGTTCCTCGTGCGATGGCTCCGGACTGCAGACGGGTTACACGCCGGGACGCTTCCAGAAACGATTTGAGATCAATCTGTGTCGATGTCTCTTTGCTGGTCATGTTGGCGGTGACCTTCGGAAATTCTCCATCCTTAACCACTGTTCTTCTTTGCCGGAAGCGCCTATGCCTTGGTTTTGGCGTTTCGGTGCCGAGCCTTTCGAACACTGAAATTCTCTCGGGGACTCCCTTGATGCAGTTGCATTGAGACAGTACTACCCGAATGAGCTTGGCACATGGGCACTGAGTTTCGAGCCCTTGAGGGCTTCTTTTTCCAATGGAATGGGTCCGTGTCAAACGGAATCGTTCGACGCTGGAAGAACGCATCCGCAAACACCGCGCACTATCAGCGCAGGCGTGGGCTCAAGCCGAAGAAGCCCGTAGAAAGTTGCAGAAAGTGTTCGCGAGAAAAATTGTAGCTTTCATCATTGATTCCATTGTACACTCTTGTAATAGTTTATCGATTACAAAGATCCGGTCTTTTTATAAGATCCGGTTACAACGAAAATCAAATAAAAAGAAATGAAAAATTACAACTTTGTTTCCTTGTTTGTCGAACGAATCACGAGCTCCTGTTTTGCGGTCGCTCGCTTTGTGGGTTCTTTGCCTGCGCCGGGGTTGTTTGCCGTGGACCACCGCGCGATCTAGATCCGGTCGGATCTACGCAGTACGACGGGTATTATTCCACGAAGGAAATAATAGCCGGGAGGGATTGATTCACCAAGGAAACAATCGCTCAAGTCTCGGGATCTAAGACCAAGCCTAGATCCGGAGTTCGTACGCGTAGATCTGAGATCTGGTCCTCTCGAATACCTGCCTTATTTGGCGTTGACGGTCGCCGAGCACCAGATCTGGATGAGCAAGTCCTTGAAGTCCTAAAGTTTGAATCTTGTTAAGTTCTGAGTCTCCAATCCAGCAGGGCTTCGCCTCTCCAAAATTTCCAACCCCCCAAATGAACCAAGGCCTAGCCTATTTATAGGCACGGTGGCTCGGCCTTGGCCGAGCCACCTTGAGGTGGCTCGGCTTGGGCCGAGCCACCTGAAGTTGGCTCGGCTTCGGCCGAGCCCCTCTAGGTGGTGGTTTTGGTGTTTTCCGCCTTTGGTTCTGTCCGTGATTCGGTTGATCCAGACTCTGATTTGATTCCTGATTTGGCAGTAAGTCGGATTCCTGATTTGGCAGTAAATCCGCTTCTGAGTTCGAGTCCGAAACTGATCTTGATTCGATCGTGATTCGTCCGAGTCCGCTCTCGGTTGGATGACTCGTTGATTCCTCAACTCATTAGCTTAATTCTGCACGCGGATGGATTCATTCCGTCGCTTCCGTGCGATTCGTCGATCTCGTCGCCTCGTTGGCTCGTCGGTTTGTGCCGAGCTATGCTAGGGGACCTATAAGCAATTTTATATGCCTACAAGTAACATTTCGTTTGTAAATGCCAACTTTCGCTTCAGATAATTGCTTTAATAATGATATACATCATCTAGAAGCAGTTGATTTTTAAATAGGGTTAGTTGTGCATAGACCCACTGTAATATCGCCAAATTGAGCTTACGACTTATGTAGTTCTATTGCTGCAGATAGACCAGCCTCAAAAGGGTCAAATAATTTCAGTCAGGACGTCTATCTGCAACAATAAAACTACAGGATTAGTAGGTTCAATTTGACGAAAGTACAGGGGGTTTATCCACGATGAAACCCTTTCAAATATTTATTGATGAACAATGAGCTTACGGTTTGAAAAGCATTAACAATTTTAGTTCAGTATAAATGTCCTTGTATTCATAATTGAAATTTGTTAATTGATGCATGAAGTGCATGTTTTAGAACTTGTTCTTTCTTCAGGTGGTGTTTAGCATGATTTGTATCCCTGACCATTTTGTTCTTTCCTTTGTTCTTTTCTATGAAGCCTTCGCAAGCACATTATAATCTGCAGGGTATGTCATAGACCTGTATTTTGTATTACCTTGTTCTAAATTTACCTACCTTACCATCTATGAATTTAACTTCAGAGAAACGTTAAGATGCAGACAATCAGTTTCAAGCTATTGATGTATATAGTGTCTATTTTTGCACTCTTTACCATCTCCTTTGAATTTTGATTTTACAATGTACTTAAAATAGAATTCCTATACGAAATTCTCCTTAGTTTAGGAGGCGAGCTTTAAGCATATGCTTTGTGTTTTTAGGCGATTGGTCTATTTTAACCCTCCCCTAAAGACATGCTCTTCTTGCATGACCAGTAGATTAGTTATTTTCTTATTTACAATAGGTATTTCTTTTGCATGACCACTACATTGTTTTTTCATTGTGTTAGGTTAAGGCTTTGAATGAATCAGTTGCAGGAAGCGTAAAGTCAGTTTTTAAAGCATGGGAGCATCGATTGATTAATTCAGAGGTATATTGCCTGTTTTGCCCCCCCCCCCTTTCCTATGCTGTTAAAATTTATAAAATAACTACTTTATACAGTTAAAACGACATTTAGTTATTCTTGTTCTGGATTGCACTTGATCTTGAAAGCTGTGTAATAGATAGCCTTTAGCTGCACAGAGTGAAATGTAGTAAAGTAGAAACTAGAAAAGGAAATATCTTACTCTAGGGTACTTTTTCCTGACTATTAGAAATATCAGTTTTCTATGCAGTTTTCTTATGCTTTCTGATATTTTCTATCCTATAAAATTTCACCTCCAATTCTAGGCTACATTTTCCCTAGGCTACATTTTCCGTTATGTTTACGATAGCAAAATCCTCCTTGAATGCTTGTTAGGAACGCCAGGCCTATCTTGATATCTTAGGCTCGAAATTCGTGGGAATCTGAGTTCAATCTAGCTCATGGCATATACTGAATATCAACACTCTTAGCCCATTTTGATTGTTTGAAAAATTAATATGGCAACAAAGTATTTGAGATTTTTTAAATTTTAAATATCCACCATTTTGAGTTTGCTTCTCAAGCATCTTACTATGAGGAAGGATGAAGATGAAGTCATGAAGTATTGAACAATGTGTTATTCAAACACATCCGTAATTCCGTATCGTGAAAAGTGTTATTTTGTCATTTTGAAAAGTTCAACAGAATATGAACACTCTTATTCCATTTTGATTATTTGAAAATTTATAAATAAAAAAGTATTCGAGATTTAAAGTTTTAATATCACTCTTTAATGAGAAAATCATTTTGAGTTTGCTTCTCAAGCACTCTAATCACCATGAAGAACAGAAATGAAGTTACAAAGTATTGAACAATGTGGTTTGCAATCACTTTTTCATACTTTTATCATGAATTTGTATCAATAACAACATGAAATGAATATGGCATTTTCCAGAACATATTCTCCAAATCATAGTTATTTTAAAAATTACCATCCAATTCGTCATCACTGTTATTTTATCCCCCAAATGGTAGTCAACCCTCAATTCTATATTGGGGTCATCTTGTGTTCCATTAAAAGATATAGTTATAGTTATTTCATAAATAAACTTTGATAATTCAAATGCGCAAAAAATTCTAGTTCTTCCTTGAACTTCCTCTTCTTGTTAGAGCAACATTTCCTGATAAATAGTGCCAAATGATAAATAGTGCCAAAAAAGTATCTCAAAAAGTTTATCTACATGGAATCTTACTTACTATTTGACTTACGAGATAGTAGCCACCTGACTCAAGAATACTTATGTTAGCACTGTTTTCAATATATCAGGGTTTCTTGGAGAGCAATGAAGATGATCCTGAGTTACTTGTTTTCATTCCGTAAGTAGTTGCTATAACACGTCTTATCAAAATGAATCTCTAAATCTTTATTCGTTCATCTAATGCTATTTTGCTAATTTTTTAATATTTATATGAGGTGTTTTAGTTACCTGTATCACAAAATACAATCAGCATACAAGACTATTCACATGTGGAACACTACAAATAATCTGTATTCTCTTGTACTTACAATTATGGTCTCCGGTGAAGCTAAACAATTGGGCACTTGTCCAAGTGTTCTCGTCAAAGTTGGATACATGGGTGAAATCTGTGGCGTTTCATACGCTGGTAGAGTAGAGGAAGATAAATTTTGAAAGGTTACTGAAGCAGGAAATATTTAGGAGAGGAAGATAAATTTTGAAAGGTTACTTAAGCGGAAAATATTTAGTACTACTGCAGTGAAAATGCACTAGGTAAATCTATGATTGGAATATTAATTCAGTTCATGTTCCTGCCTTTATGGATATGGGTTAGTTTGCAAAGAAACTTAGCAATTGATTGATTGCTTGTCTTCCCACTATCTCAATATTAAGGAGCCTGTTTGCTCCTCTCAGAAATTGCTGGTGAGACTCGTGAAAAGCGCTATGACAACTATTTCCATCTTTATGCACTCTTTTCTCTGGATAATGCTAAACTCTTATTTTACCACACGTATTACTCCCGTAGATGGCAAACAATAAAGTGGGCTCCCTGTCATCAACATGCACTGGACTGAATTGCAAGAAGTGTCTGTAAATATCAAACTCTGCCAAATACCAACTGAACAGACCCAGCCTGATGTGTCCCATTGAGAAGTTGAAGTAAATTGCGAGTACATGAACAAACTATATTCAGCGTATGAACAAACTTTTCCGTCTAATTCTAATGTCTGTGAGCTGAAAGAAAATCCATATAGATCTCTAGTCATAATAGAACAACATGTTTGGCATTTTAACTAATTTTGATTGGGATGTTGAAGAGTATATGAGACATCAGCAATGATGAAGAATAGGATATAAATCTATTTTTTTCTGTCAGATTCCTGACTAGATCATCCACTTGGTGATATGATGAGCTGATATGTACCATTTCATATTTTACATGGGTTACATGTGTTTTCCTCTACTGATCATCGTTCAGAAAAGTGTTTCTTTTTCCTGCTTATATGCTTTTTATACATTGTATCATCTTGGTTTTTGGCATCGAATAGAGGACCTGTTGTTATGTGTTTGCACTGAAAGTTTATGGTTATAAATTTATACATCTCATAATCCATTTTCTCTTCATCTTTGTATATAAATATATATATATATATATATATATATATATATTTATAAATGGAATCATGGATACACACTTAAGTGTGAAGGAACCATTCATTTTTGCATTGAGATGTCTGACATGAGCTTCAACATACATAATTTGTAATTACTAATGAAGTCTTATACATACACAGTTGAAGATAATCTGCACGTAATTCAGTTATACTTGGGTTGGTATGTGGTTGATCCAAGAACTTTCCTAACAATGGAAACTTGCCTTTGTTATAGTGTGTACTTGCTAGTCTTTTTTATATTCAATACATAGCTGTAGCCTTGTTAACCATATCTTTCCAATACGCGTAATTAGATAATATTTCTGTCTAAGGCAAATGCTCAACTTTAGCATGTCTAGATTGCACTCGATATTCTATTCCATACATTTGTGGATTAATTGTTCGAAAAAGGTTGCGATGAAGCTATATTCACATGCTTATTATCGTTTTGGTTGACAGGTTCACATCGGATGTCAAGATCAAGAGCATTTCCGTTGTTGGTGGTGCAGGGGGAACTAGCCCTTCTAAAATGAGAGCGTATGTTACCGTTGCAGTTTATGCCTCATAATTCATGGTTACTTTGCTCTTTATGCCCATATCAAACTTTTACTCGTTTAGAGATGGGCTTGTGAAATGAGAGCATACACTTTGTCCTTTCCAGTTTGTGCCTCATTATTTCATGTTTGCTTGCTTTTTATGTTCCATTTTTTCTCTAGCCAATCGATACCAATTGTCAGACCAAACATAACACATCTGATTTGTAGTTTTTTTTAATATGTATCTTCTAATTGTTTTTATCCTCAATATACGTGTTATTTGCACTATTAAGAACCACCCATCGCTTCAATGTCCTAAATCTTATTATGTAACTAATTTTAAACCATTAAAATGCTATGATATTTCTGCATGCATATTGGACTTTGCCTATCATATAATTGTTTTTGTTACCTTCAACTGTCGACCATAGGGCTTAGCATCTTGTGCCTGACAATTAAAGAGGGTTGCACCTTTGATTACTTCCTTTCTAGTGAAAAATGGAGTATCATCAAACAGAATAGAGAACCATGCTCAAGTACCCTATTTAGCCCTTAGCATGATTACCCTAAACCCATTCTAGTTTGTAAGATCACTCTAATTGCCGATTATCCAACTCCTCTCAGTCTTGTCCATGCAGGTGCTCTATTACCCTGCTTGTGTGCGTGTGAGTGTGAGTATGGCTATGTGCATTGCAAGCATTAAAAGAGAATTAATTTATGGACCCCTATTCTAGTTAATCCTATTACCTCCAATCACCATACTAAACCTGGAAATGTAATCCTTTAAGAAGTTACACTATAATTTAACAATACTCTTCATTTGATCTACTATAATAGTGTAGTATTGGTTTCAATTTCATTTACTCATCAGACTTTTGAGATATTTCAAAATGATATTGTTTCATATTAATCAACAACATCATTAAAAAAAATTGAAAAAAGCTCCATTACATGACTTCTAAGTTGTCGTCTTCATGAGAGTTACCATCTTTTGTTATTCTTTATCTCAATACACATTTTCTAAATGCATTGCATGTCAAATCTGAGTAGTACTTTAATTCAAACATGTATATTAATAATCTTCTTTAAAATTACTTCGAGAATTCTGCTGCTTCAGTAATTGAGATGGCAATGACATACTCTAATCTGCCTTTTTTTTGCTAAGGCTATTGAGAATATTGTTTTAACATTACTTGGATAACTATGCAGATTTATTAACCGAGAAGGCATTGATTTCTCTGATGCCCAAAATATGCAGCCTGTTCAGGTAACAATGTCATTTAGTGGCTTTAAATTTGTCAGGTAACAATGTCATTTAGTGGCTTTAAATTTGTCAGTGTCTTTTATTTATTTGAAACATCTGTTTGTGCTTCAAGGAGTGGGAATTGGCAGAGAATTTGCAGGGCGTATTAGAATATCAAACCAGGTATGTGACATATTCAACGTTTTCATCGTAGGAGTATCAAATTACACATTTCTTGCACTTATTATGTCCTGTTATGTGATTGACACTCTTATTAGTTATGTGTAATTGGCCCTGCCAACAGACTCATTTTTGTTGAATGCTTAAGCACTTAATTTGTGAATGTTTAGTTGATTTAACTTGGTTCTATAAGTTGTGTAGAATCTATGGGACCACCCTCTTATGATTGAGTCCTTTTCCATTATCGAATAGGCTTATGTTACTGATAACTTATACGGTTTTGCTGTGATTTCTCGTTCTTATAAAGTTCTGCATTTTAATCAGATTCTCGAGATTTCAGAGCGTTGGTAATCTTACTTTGCACTTCCCTGATAACTTTGGTGGGAATACAACTCAGATATATTACATTGGCTTACGTGGTGAAGCTACCCAGGTATTGTCAACTTGACTTCTCAGTGCAAGATAATTTGCGGTGCGTAGCATGTCAGTTATACCATAAAGCAATGATGTTATACTGTAAAACAATGATATTCTACAGCTAAAGAGGGATGCAGTGGCTAAGATTGTATATGAGGTTATGCCAAATCCATCTGAGCACAAGTAAGACTTGTTACATGTCTCTTATATACAGTTTTTCTCTACTGAAGTTCTAATTTTCTTAATTTTTATTTCTTTGTCAGTGTTGCCTCTTAGTAATGGCAGTATCCTCATTGTTGCAGACAGCGATAACGTATATTACAATTTACAATTTACTACATGTTAAGAGTCTGAATGCAAAATACATGTTAAGGTCACAATCATAGGCTTACTATCAATGTTGGAAATAGCGATAACGCATAGCGTAACACTCACATCTGGTTAACGTAAAACGCAAAATAGTGTAACTCTTAATGTAGGTTAAATAATTTATTATTATTTAAATATTTTATTGATATATAATATTCAAAATCAAATAATATGAATAATCATCACGGTTTTCGAACATATCATCATAAAAATACCATCACAAATCAATATATCATCACAATTTCACAACAAAATCAATTATGTATGCCTTAACAATCATTCCAGAAGCATAGTCGTTAAAAAAAATACATCACACTGTTAGACCCTGGAGGGGGTGATTAGGGTCTTATGCTAATCTAATCCGATTTTATGCCAATTAAAACTTATTAACAAGTTATCTAATCCGATTTTATGCCAATTAAAACTTATTAACAAGTTATCCTAGCAAGTATGAAATACAACAATATATATGAGCTAGGATAAGCAATATGAACAACAAGATATATCCTAACAAAGAGATATAGGCAATGTATGTGCAAGAATGTATAAACAACACAAGGGTAAATAATCTAAACTAGATAGTGGACAAACTAAATAGAATTGATATTGATGAAATCATATATATGCATATAATTATGAAACTAAAATATGTTTTCTAATTATATTTAATTGTTTCATAGTAAAACTTGAAAACTATCAAACCAAAACATATATGTATATATATAACTATATATGTACATGGAAACCAATAAATGTGTGTGTATAATATTGAGCTTAAAGTACTAACACACATAATATAAACCTAAACTAACTATTACCCAAGCTTGATCTTGATCTTCATTGTAGCTCAACTTGGTAAACTTGGATGAAGCTTGTAATTGGATCTTTAACTTGATAGCAAGGCTTCACTCCACTATTCCGCCAACTTCCATTGGATATGATCGTGAATGCGCAATTCCATCCATCCTCCAACTCGTTGTTTGCCTAGAATAAATACGAAAACACAAACACTAGACAAACAACATTAGAAGTAAATTGTTTGTTAAACATCATCAAAACAAGAAGGCCAACACACACATTATCACAGTAAGTTCTAATAGGTAATAGCACCTCATAAATCTAAAAACATCTAATAGTAATCCAAGTGAAGTTAAAGGTTTTATTTTTGAAAGAAAAATACTGGTTTTTATTACTTCTAAATCTGGTTAATTAGAAAAAAAGTAATTAGTAATTCTTTGATCTATTTTTAATATTTTTCAGTGCAAATTCTGATTAATTTGAAAAAAGAACTCAATCATAGCCATTAAAATTCTTTTAAAAATCAATCTCAGCCCTTTAATAATTTAACCTAAGCTATGGAGCGCTATGAAGACGCGTTACAAAGCATACGCTATGGATAAAATGGCATACATTATTTTGTTTCTGCGCTATTTTCCAATGCTACGTAGCGACAGGGTGGCTCTACGATACGCTATGCGTTATTTTGCGCTACGGAATTCATTATTTTCTTCACTGCTTACTATTATACGTGATTTGTTAACACAAACATGAGTATTGTACTCCAAGCCAGGGAATTAGACACAACAAGTCTTCTACATCTAGACACGTACATGGTTGCATGTGATCTCCCCCAAATATGTATATTAACTCATTATATCTATATGCTGGTTGTTATTGAAATGCCAAAGAAGTTAAAATAAGTTGATCTTGTTAAACAGTTAGTCTAAGGTAAAAGGTTGGCATACATATAGCATGATGTAAGATGGGTGAAAGCGTACACACTTGGAAAGGGTGAATGACATTTTTCAATTGTTCATTTTAAGGTGATAAAAATTCACATACAGAAGTATTAGATAGATGGACAGGGTCACAGGGGTACCATGTCCAGCTGCTGAAGACATGCAATTATCGTCTGGAGAAGTCCCTACATATTATAAATTATTATTAGCTCTTTGGTTAAGAGATTTGAGTTCCCCTACTTAAGTTTTATTTGAATGGACTGTGTTAGTGGTATCTTCTGCTGCCTGGCAACTCTTTGCTCAGAACAAAACTATGCAGTCCTGGTTGCTATGTTTCATGAGTAGTGTAGTCTGCTATTTTCTCAGTGAACCTCTTGGAGTTGTTAGGAAATTCAAGTGAAATTTTACAGAATTAAAGACTGTAGTTTTACTCTTTTAAGAAAATATATGGATTGCAACTTTTAGCATTTGTAACATATTAGAATCTCTCCGGCAGTTCTGTATTCACGAGACAAGATGATCCCTTTGTTTTGCTTCGTCTTAAAACCCAGACGTGCCTAATCAATGCCTCTCCTATAGGCCCAGGAATTACTTTGTATACATTGCCTATGCTTGTCAAAGCAGCCATCTGCATTATCCTGCAGCGGGATGTGGAATTTTATCCTGTTCTGATGTTGTTCTGCATTATCCTGCAGCGGGATGTGGAATTTTATCCTGTTCTGATGTTGTTCTAAAGCCCCCCTTTTGGTTCATAATCAACTAAGTGTGCCCTTTTTTCCCTTTTTTTTGTTTTTTGTTTTTGTGTGTGTGTGTGTGTGTGTTGGGGGAAGGCTAAGGATTAAAAATTCAACAGCAAGTGGGAAAAGAAACTGGCCTGTGACATGTTGGGTTTTAAAAATCTAAGACTAAGAGCTAGATTTCCCCAAAGCCTGTATGTATTATAGAGGTTCGTTTTATGAACCCCCCCCCTTCCCCCCCCCCCCGCCCCCCCCCCCCCCCTCAATAATGCTGGATGTTTCATTATTATGCATGCCAGGAGACCTTATAGAAGTAGCTGGCTTCAGGTCATTAGTGTTTTCACTTTTCAGCTTATTGCTGCAGTTGAACATCAAGTTCGTTTAAAATCTAAACCATTACCCTGACTACAACATGCATGTTTTAAGTTAATTAAATTGTTGTCCGCTAAATGAGACAGACTCAAGAGCACCACGGTTTTATTCGAAACCATATGTTCCCTGGAGAGAACCCAGGATTTATTTGAAGCCATCTTCTGCACCCTAAAGCTGATTTTTTCAATCTGTCTCATTTGTTAAATCAACAACTGGTCATATCAATTCACTTCTGTTCACTTGTTTTCTCCGCTCTCTTTTTTTCTTCTGTGCGGCACACAATTTTCAATATGTGGGCGTGTATCGTTTCTATTATTTTAGAGCTTTGTTCGTGAATTCTCTAACATTGTTTTTCATCAAAGAGAGTAATCATTCCTAACATGTCCGTTTTTATGCTCAGGACTCCTAACGATGGACGCGGTAGTCTTTCTCATGTGGAGTAGAGATAAACAGGTCAGTTCGTTTTGTATCTGTATCCTGATGTGCTCAGAATACCAGCCTCTTATCCAGCACTCCTTGTTTCCTTATGAAATAGATTTTAGGGTTAATTGTGAATAGACACCTGTAGTATTACCCAAGTGAGAACAGATCCCCCTCTTTAGTTCTATTTGTGCGAATAGACCCCCTGTATTATTGGCCCAATGCGAATACACCCCCTAGTGAAGTTTTTTGACCCTTTTAAAGGTCAAAGAAAAAAGAAAAAAGGAAAGGAAAAAAAAGCAACTGGTGGTCTATCCTCACCAATAAAACTATAGGGGGTCTATCTGCCTCAAAACCTTTTTGATGATCTTAAGAGTAAAATAAAAATTCACTTGGGGGGTCTATTCACACAAATTAAACTACAAGGGGTCTATTTGCAATTAACCAATAATTTCATCACAAGATTGATTTTATCAGAACTGCTGGCGAAAATGGTTTTTCTGGGTAGCCAAGTTAGGACCAACAGCATTATCCATTCCTTTTATCCATAATTAGAATTGTTTTTTAAGTTATTCTCCTCCACCTCAGAATGAGCCCATTGAAAATTTATTCCTTTTCCAAAATTCTACATAAAGAGCAGACTTTGATTGCCTACATTTAGGTGGTGTTACTTTCGTGACATTATCCTTCTATTGGTTCTATTTAAGAATTTTTTTAATGGAGAGATTTATCATTGCTGAGCTAATTCGTTATTTTCATTTGCAGATCTCAAATTACCTTCTTAATCCTTCTCATTTTGTTCTTGCCGTGTATTGCAACTTGGAAGGATAGTGCTGCCTAACATTTCTAAACTTGTTTCTGCTATGAAGTACGTATGGAGAACTTACTTGTTCCATTGTATATAAAGCTAGTTAGAAGTGAAAACTGAGTATAAGTGAAACAAGGATTTGATCAGGGCTTGGCTGCTGCAAAACAGACTGATCCAATGATCCGAACTGAACGAGAACTGATATTTGTATAAACTTGACCTTGAAATTTCTTTTGAATATTGAGAAAATCAAACTAAAGACTATTATTCATCTTGTTTCAGCCTAAAACCTTTATGCTGCTACATTTGCATAATTGCAATTTGACCTGATTATTAATTTCACGATGCTGATTATGGCTTTCTTTAGTTATATTTGGGAACTTTTTATGTAAAGCATATGCTGTGGCTTGCGTTAAAACTCATCTACCTGTTCTTCCACTATACTTGACGTGCCGCTAACTCTTGGCCTTTTATTGGGAGGATGTATCTGGTGGGGTATGGTTCATAGTGACAAATGTGCCTTCCAAAGGGATACTAATTTCGTGACTTGTGCATTGATACAGAGGTTGGTATTCCTTGTGTGCATATTTATTACTGTAGGTCGTCCCATATTGGATCATGTTGACCAGCTTGGAGACCTAAATTTGAACTATGACAGTAATTATAATAACGTTATCGCTATCATCAATGTTATTAATAAAGCAATTTTGTTTACAAAAATATTGATGTGTGAACCTACTGTTTCCTTCATCATAGAGTCAAATTTGCACGCATGAGTCCTTTTTTTTTATAGATAGACCCAAACTGCAGGGAGCTTGCCCTGCACGAAGCTGTCCTGTATTTCTTTTATGAATGTAAACTTCTACTGAACCGTTCAGCGTACTAGAAACGCTATGCATCTCTCAGAAACCACAGCTTTGGTATGAACTGCTGGCCGTTTGTGCAGGCTACGAGCCTATCCTTAGTTGCTGCTGAAACCCAGAGCTAAGATAGGACTGAAGCCCAATTAAATAAATATCGAATTCCTATTATTATAACCGAATATAATCCAAGCTCAGGCGCAGGCCATCCGTCTAAAAATTGCAACCGTTCAAACTACGAGGAGCGAGGGGTACATCTACCTGCCTAAGCACAACAATATTGATTGGCACGCTGAGATACATATGTTGTCAATCTATTCTGTAACATTATGCTGTGTAGCCTATTTGTACAATATTAGTCCGCAGAAGAAAAAATGAAGAATCAAAGCTCAGTCTGATGAAAGTATAACACTTACACTCGAGGGTCAGGACCGTCAGGTCAGAGGGGATTACATTTTAAAAATATGTTGTTACAAGCGCTTTTGCTCTAAGTGGTGTCAATATCCCAACAGCAAGCCTGTTGCATCAATCATTACCTGATACAGTACTTGGCCATTTAATGACCGGTATGACTAATGATGGTAGCTTTCTCTACCCATAACATAAGCAGATAAGATGATGGATACCAATCAGATAATCATTTTCCCTTTACCTGATCATTGAGCTCAAAATAATGGCTCCGTTCCCACTTGAAAGTGTGCCATCACATCAAAAGATTCATCCAATTTTTTGCAACCGTTTTGATCTCTTTCATGAAAACCTCTACCAGGTAGGTGCAATCTTAAGAATTCAATGTACTCCGAGAGTATCTCCATAAACTAAGTGCTACAACCACTGCACCAGCCATTCCAGCCAAAATCTGCATACGACAAGATTCGACATATGAATGAACTCAGGAAAAGGTAACAACTCCAAAGCAATTTAATTTATGAACTTCATTACCTTGGATTTATAACAAATTTCAGAAGGTAAGCACATGTTTCAAACAAATGAGCAGTACCATGACGAGAAACCATGAGCGTGAGTACAAATTTAAATTTATTTTTCATTCTTTATATTATTATTTGCCTCTTAAAACTGACTGCATCTAGAATCAATTCTGCAACCATGCAATAAGCAGCAAGGGACAGAATGAACATCACGTAAAGCCGCTTGAGTCTAGATATACTCATAGGTTAAAAGTAAATAAATTCCAATAACAACACATATCATGTCTGAAGATAGGATGGCTTAGATTAGCAAACCAGTAGACCAAATTTTCTTTTTGACATTTAATGAGATAGAAGATACATGTAAAATTTTCTTATTCCTTAGCGAAATAGTTACTGAATGCAGCCTTCTTTTATATCCCTCATATTCGTGCGTTAAATTTGTATTAGCAAAGCTTGCACAGTTCTCTCTGAAATAACATCAATTTAGGATCTCAAAATTCTCAGAAACTTGTGGTTAACCATTAGCGATCTACCCTTTATTCTAGGCCCGATGACTCCCACTTTCCTAACCTCAATCTCAGATCCTGTTCTCATGATATGCAATATCAAACATTTATACTCTCCTACAAACATGGGGAAAATTTTTAGAAATTTATTTTTCCATCTCAGGCATATAACCTTGCATCCATGAACCATGATTTCTTTCGTCTTTGTCTAGTCTATTCCAACTTCTAGAAGTGACAAGCAGCTATCCTCACTGGCAGTTGTGACAAAATTACCAGAGCTTTCGTAAAGCATTGACAACATGCCACAAGCTGGCTATAAATTTCTCACGTGTTTCCAGTGTCCAACTACCTCATTCATGAGTTATCCTTATCAAAAGGTGTTATAAACAAAGGCAAAATCCATACCCCATTTAAGCCAATACCGAGAAAGCAACATATGGTACCAGGGATTTATGATCTGGAGATATTGATCCTAAGATTTATCAAGGATTGGTGGAAGGGCAAGAAAATTATCGAAGGGCTAGTTGTGCAATACAACTTCATCTTGGCGTATTATAAAGTACAGCAAGGTGTTCAGTATTAAAAAATAGGGGAAATTGCTTCTGGACCCCAATTTCCTTACAAGTATTCCGCCCACCCCAAGACTTTTTCAACACTCCCAAAACCCCCAAAAGCAAAGCCATAATTCTCTAAGCCCCAAAAACACAAAGACCAAGAGTTTAAAACATGTGAAGACCATAATATCATTTCTCTCTCTCTCTCTCTTTTTTCATGATGTCACTGTGATGATTTGAAATGGGTTTGGGGGGGGGGGGGGGTTTCCCTCCGAATTTTTCCAACAGCGTCGACATCAGTGAGGAAACTTTCCATGCGTTCGTTCATGAGGCGAAGAAAACTGGGATTTTGAAGACGGTGATGACGAATTGCGATGGATTCAGCATCACCGTTCCGTATAAAAAGACGGGAACTCCGGCGACTCCCGGTGTAATTTTTTCCTTTTTTAACTTGTAGTTGAATCTGAGTGCTATACTTTTTTATGTATTATTATAATTTTTTTTGAAATCGATGACTTGAGATTAAAGTAGAATCTATAAATTTATATGTTGTTGTTATTTCACTGTAATGAGTTTGTTGTTAAGGTTATGAGTTGGTTGTGAAGAAATGTTATGTGTTGGTTTTGAAGGTTACGAGATGGTTGTGAAGTTTACAAGTTGTTTGTGAAGGTTTGGAGTCGGTTGTCAAGGTTAGGAGTTGATTGTGAAGATTACGAGTCGGTTGTCAAGGTTAGGAGTTGGTTGTGAAGATTACGAGTTGGTTGTGAACCTCGATAAGGAGTTGGTTGTGAAGGTTATGAGTTGGTTGTGAATGTTACAAGTTGGTTGTGAACCTCGGCAATGCGTTGATTGTGATTGTTGTTAACATTCACAACCAACTCGTAACATTCACAACTAACTCCTTACCGAGGTTCACAACTAACTCGTAACCTTCACAAACAACTCGTAACATTCACAACAAACTCATAATCTTCACAACCGACGCGTAACCTTCACAACCGACTCATAAACTTCATAACCAACTCGTAATCTTCAAAACCAACACGTAACATTCCTTCACAATCAACTCATAACCTTAATAACAAACTCATTACAGTAAAATAATAACAATATATAAATTTACACTACTTTAATCTCAAGTCATCGATTTCAAAAAAATTACAACATATAAAATAACAAAAAAATATAGCACTCGGATTCAAGTACAAGTTAAAAAAGTAAAAAAAATTTACATCGGGAGTCACCGGAGTTCCCGCCTTTTCATCGGAACGGCGACTTTGAATCCATCACAACTCGTCATCACCATCTTCAAGATCGCATTTTTCTTCGCCACATGAACTAACGCCGGGAAATTTTCATTGCCGATGTCGACGCCGTTGGAAAATTTTGGAGGGAACTAGAATTTCCCCCCCAAAACTCATTTCAAATCATCACAGTGACATCCTGAAAAAAAGAGAGAGAAAGGGTATTATGGTCTTCACATATTTTAAACTCTTGGATTTTGTGTTTTGGGGGCTCAGAGAATTGTGGCTTTGCTTTTGGGGGTTTTGGGATTGTTGAAAAAGTCTTAGGGGTAGACGGAATACTTATAAGGAAATTGAGGGCCATAAGCAATTTTCCCTAAAAAATATTACACTTCCCTAACTGGCACTGCAATCTTTTGCCTCCATGAGCACAAAAACCAATGAGCCATCCAAAACTAATTTTAGCCGTGCCACATGATACTTATCTAGTCCCCAACGCCAACATGGGGCACACACCCTGATAACGAAACTCTCTCATAATTCTTACTGTTTTTCATACATATAATATCTTTTTCGCTGGTAGAGCAAGAGCACAACAGGGTTTCCTCCAGTTTTTATTTTGTTTAAGTAGAAGGACCACATTACAGGACCTTTTATGTTTCAAGATTCTTATAACTATGAGATACTCCAGATGATGTTCCCTTTGGTAGTTTATGAAGAACCGAGTTATTCAGAAATATTCATTGAATTTTAAACCATAAGATGGTGCATTGCTGATTTTTTTTTTAATTCCCAAAGTCCTAATTCAAATTTCCCATTAGTCCACGGCATTCTTTCAACTATATCCCGCAAAGCTGACAAAAGGCAGTCTTCTCTAACTGCTTTTGGTTTCTTGGTCTAAAATTCACCATCAAAGTCAGCCGTGCCAGGAAAAACAGTAGATGTAATAGTAAATATATGACCAACAATGCAATACAAGGAAAATTATTTTAAGAAAGAGATCAAAATGATCAACATCTGACCTTTGCATCTCTGCTATGTTCACTAGCTGTTTGGATAAGCAGTGACTTCAAGAACTTCAAGCGAGATTGCTGGGGCATGAGAATGACCACTGTATATTGTTTTTTGCATGGGGAAGGCAAAATTCTCTGTAAGGCTAATTGCATTGTTGATGGTGTCAAAGATCTTCTGACCTTAGTGCGCCCTTCATCTTGAACCTGCAAAGATGTCAAAAAAATCAGGAGAGCATAATCTGAAAACAATCAGCAACATGCTTACTAACACGAAGTTGCAATGTAAATCAAGAGAGAAATATCCTTCGCATCAAAAGAATTTAAAAATAAGTTTGTATGTCTGAATCAATAATATTAAGCTAATACTCAAAAAAGCAGCAAATCAGTATATGCCTCCAGATTTAAGCCACCAACAACGAACAAAGGAGATTATACTTTCATCAAACAAGAACGAGCAGTCTGGTTGCCGTTCCAACAAAAAAGCAAGAAACATATGACATGCAACTCAAAAGAACATGAGAATATACCAACCTCAAATGAGGTACTGACATCACCAAAATATGTGCGTGACTGATAGCTGCGCAGGATTCTGTCCAACCAGTAATAGTTTTCCTGACAAACATTCAAATCTCAAAAATACAGTGATCTTCAACTTCCAGTAGGGAAAAAATATAAATTGGACTGTAAAGCAGACCTGCAATCCATTTTCATGGGCCCGTTGCTCAATTTCAAGGATAGTGGAAACATCCTGATCTGATGGTCCATTATGTTGAAGATATGATATCTCTTCTAAAGCAAAATCAACCTATCGAAAATACAAGTTACACTAAAGGGTGTTTGAATCAAATGCACGAAAACATGCAGAAACGGATATGCATTTGCTATCAATAGAAATTCAAAATATTGGAGAAATGAATATAGATTTGTTATCAATAATAATATTTCAAAACATTAAAGACTTACCAGTTTAGATGCAATATCTGGATCACAAGAAAAATTAACGCTTATATCACCCCGGACATCTCCAGTCCTTGAAGGTCTATTACCACCCAAAAAGACAGATACACCCACTGAATATATCTGGTTCATTCAAAACATAGAAAGATAATTCAAAACATAGAAAGAGATGGTCTACACAGTGTTGTAAGTATGAATATGGAGGATGAAATGAGCAAAAATAACTTAAAGAGCGATGAACCTGCCCATGTTTGAACCGAAGAATTTGCATTATTCTAGTCTCCAGTAGTTTGCTCAAAAATCCAATGAAATGAATCTCTTCCATCTACGCATTTGATAAGTCACAAAACAAGACAGCTTGTCAAGTTAGCTGAAGTGTAATTGAAGTATATGCATCCCTTTGAGTTAGTTTCCTACCATAGATATATTCTTAAGCATCACAGGGAACGCTAGCTGAACAGAGCACTGCGCTTCAACCATAGGACTACGCACAACTTCTCTACACAAGGCCAATTGTTTAAACACAAAAATTCAGAATTATAGCATGTTTACCACGAAGAATGATTACACTAAATGCCAGAGAAAAACTCCAATTTTTTTTTTTAAATTCACCTGATAATGGTTGCAGGAAATTTGAATGGCAAGCCTTTTAAGTCATCGCGATTGAAATGTAAGACTGTCTCAGAGGGCTTCGGTATTCCACCCTACAAAGAAACAAACAATTAACCACTTAAGATAACAATCTAACCCAAATAGGCTTCAAGATGAAAGACATACCAGATATTGCAAAATTAGAGGAAGTGACACGGTTGGGTCAAAATTCCCGACTATTACAACAGTAAAAGTTGAGGGGTCCTTGAAACAGTCGCTAAAATATCTGCATGCTCTTAAAGGATCCACCTTTTTCAAGTCACCAATTCTAATTGGCTGTACCAGGAAACATGGTTAGAAATAAGAAATACACATGAACTGGCAGAAACTAGCTATCTAAACCAATAAATTTAACATACCCGGAAAAAATAAGAGTTCCCGTAGTTCAGCTCCCGTACACGGTTTGCAAATGCAGTGTATGGATCCCTTTCTTGAGCACGTATTGCTTCTTCTGTCATTTGCATTACAATTTTTACTTCTTCATCCCTTGGTTCAACATTTTTGGTAAATAGTTGGTAAACAAGCTGCATGGATTGCAAATTACATATAGATTAATATGCAGATGAAGCTTGAAGACATAGTAAGAAGGACATTGATAGCAACAGTCTAATGCAAATTGGCAAGCAAGTTTCCTAAAACTAAGAGTTTCCTATAACTTAGCTAGCTTTTGTGAAGAAACTAGCATTTGTGGAAGTCAAATTAATTAATTATTCCGACATATGTAGATTGTAGATAAATTCAAAACGACAGCATATACGTCAAAAATGGAACATGACGTAACAACCCATGTTTCTATTTGATGAAGCTCCCTGACTTTTACAAAGGAATACATTAGGGGAACAGGGAAAGAAAATGTTTATCCTGCAACCTATTCTCGAATGGCCCTTTTATAAATTTCATACTTGTATATATATCATGTTTTTGACTTCCAGTAGATAGATCACTAAAGGAAGAAAACAGAATTTTAGCACATAGCTTTACTGGACCCGCTTCTCAATTTCTCGTACTCATATAACCCACAGTATCTAGCACAGAGCAAAACATTAAAATCATCGGACATTCAACTCAAACCATAATGATTGGAGATCATATTGACTCAGAAGAAAAAGTCATTAGCAAATACTACAAACCATAATGTACAAAGCCAATGAAGGCATTCCATACAAGTATGAAGTATATAATCAATATATATATATATGAAATCAATGTTTCTAGCAATAAGAAATCCAGTCAGACCAAGTTAGCAAATATATAATCAATACGTGAAGGGGACTAAAAGTCTTCTATCCTCCAACCATAACCGCATTGTTGTGATGGGTTGATACCTACAGAAATTCATTTACTTCCCCACTTTGGCATAGCACCGCAAGATTTCAATCCAAAGATCCAACCTCACAATATCGTTCCCGAGGATGGGGGCTCAAGTAGTCGCCGTCCATATTGAAAAAAGGAATACTAATCATTTATTCATTGAAAATCAACCCAAAACCCCCATTGCTGTCGAGCCCAACATAAAATCAAAGGCTCAGCATGTAATCATGAAAAGACAACACGATCAATTTGTATATGCCTACGCTGCAAACTTTCATCTGTACGAAATTAGTCAATTTCATCTATGAAGCACAAACATTGATTACCATACCACAATATTAATATGATATAAGTACATCAGTGAAGCATCATGAAGAAACTAGTCTAAGATGAGTCAATTTGAATTCAGAGTTCCAAGCTTCTAACACAACAGGCTGAAGTACAAACCTGCAAAGCAGTTTCCAAATCAGAAGGCGAGCAATCACCAGAAAAGGTCCTCATGTATGCCCCAATTTTCGTGCTAACTTCAGCTCTCTTACCGGCAAGCATATCCATAAGCACAGAGGGTTTATAACCAAATGCACCTATTTCTCCAGCAATGGTTGATCCCATTGAGCATGACATATATTCATCTTCTGACAACTCTGACAATCCACCATATGCAAACCCAGTAAAAATGATCTGTTGAAATAATTAAAATCAAGGTATTTTAGTTGAATTTACTCATCATATGAAGTGCTAATTTACTTATGAGGATAAGTATAATATAAGCAAGGCAACAAAGATAATCAGCTAATCGACATGCTTAAGTAATCAGCTAATCAGCTTACACAAACAAGATAGAAAAAAAGGAAAGACAAAAACAAATCTACAAGATCTTTTGTAATCTAGTATATGTTTAATACTGTAGTGGAAAAGGTTTATGCCTATATGTCACATAAAGCAGTAAAATATGCTTCTGATGACAATAATAAACATTGAACTTACAAAATGTTGTGAATTTTACATACTTGGTACCATAATAAGTACCTGTCAGATCCTCAAAGAAGCATTCACTTTACATTTTAGATTAACAGAAGAACAACGCAGGCTCCTCGTATGGATCATGGTTATATTATCTTTATGTCCTCAGTGGATACTGGGATAGACTTTTGACATGTTTAGTCCATAAGCTTCATTTTTGAAACTTTAGCTGATTTATTTTCTAGTATACTGCATTCACCTTTCTTTTGAAATATTCACCCTAGTCACTTCTAAATGAAATTTAACATCATTCTCCCCCATAAATAAGAATGACATTTCGTTAAGCCCAATGCTAAGTTATTGGGTTTCCCCCTACCTATCCTTGACAAGTATTGAAACTAAAACAATGCTATCAATAGATTAATTAGATTGGAAAATCTAAAGAAGGGTACAATTGAAAATTAAAGTTTTGGTGTAGTTGAAAAGCAAGATTAATTAATTTTTTCTCAATAATGTGTGTCAATCTTGCCATTTTCTTAAAAACTAACGAAAGATTTATTTGTCATGATAAATGCACATGCGAACATGCTCCAAAACTTACACGCAACCAGGTCTAAAATCGCAACCCTGTAGCTATCTTTTCAATATGCTCTAACAGATTTGATGGATTTGAAACTCAATTAAAGATCAGACTCAAAAACTACATATGAGGCATCTTCCATAAAAAGTACCTTGTCACCAAGACAAAAATATACGCAAAACGATCAACTTACCAACACAAAAGCAAACCAGACCTCCAACAAACAAAAGTAACACATAGTGCTTTACATTAATTAGATACTAAATATTCAGTCATGACAAAGATTAGCCCAATGTCAGCTTGTACATTTTTATTAAAAACAAAAAGGGTTAACTGCAGTTTACTATGCTAAAGTTCAGTTTATTTTTAACTTTAATGGCCTAAAGTTTAAATTTGCCCACATATCCTTAAGTTTCACGAATTTCAACTTTATTACCTTCCTTTACATCACTGTTTAGAATTTTGTTTAAAAGGCATCACATATTCACATGATAACCATGTGATAATATTTGGATATATATACCCCCAAACTGAAAAGAAATACCTCCTCATATCTTTCAATTAAAAACACCAAAATTCATTAAACTATAGCAAAGATAACCACTATTTAGCAATATTGACAACAATACTAAAAGAAAATTCCTGAATTGAAAGGAAGAATCAACATGAAACAGTTTTTTTGGGCAAAAACTAAGAGAATGTGTCAAAGTTAAAAAGGGTGAAACTTTGGGCTAATAGGCAAATTTGAACTTCAGGATACTAAAGTTAAAATCGATGAAAATTTAGTGCAATTAACCCTTGTAAAAGAAAAAGATTTATTTGTCATGAAGTTCCACAACGTTACATTCATGAACAACAGTTACCACTATTATGGAAAATAAGCATCAAGGCATGCACTCATGGTTCGTGCAACAATTGACATTTTTGTACCCTTGAAATTCAAGAATAAGTTCTTGCTAATTGCTACCTGATCATCAAGAAAGTCAGTGCATTTGTAGCAGATCTTCATGCCATTGGACAGAAGTAACTCAGTGGCGCCAATGCTTGGATATTCAGACTGCTGTACAATTCCCCTGCAGGAAACAACCACATGTTCACAAAAAATTTACATGAACAACCACATGTTGCACATGTCAATATGAAACTACATGCACACAATACTATAACGTTTGGCCAGTAAAACAATGATATTCATCCAAAAACCAGATTAGTTGGATATGTTCAAAGTAGGGTAAATCAGTTCAGATTGTCTTGTGCCAAAAGGCGAATAACCCCTAGGAAAGTCAACAAATAATGGTTAATAATTGCAACAATCAAATATAAATGATTTATTACAAATATGGTAAGGAGAACAAAATGTTACTTGAGAAACCAAAAGCATAATATTAGAAAACCTGAAGAACATTGAAATATAATCAGAACCATATGGCAAAAGAAAGAAAAGAGATGAAAAAATACCCATAAACATCAAAATATATTTAGAACAAGACCATAAATAAGAGGGGGGGAAACCAATGTTTGGAAACCCTTCATTGGTATCAGTTTCAGACGTTCAGGTTTCCTTGCTTGGTAACAATGCCAAGAGTTTCAGGAGTTTTGATTGTTTTCCCAATTTCAAACTGGAAATATCAGTTTTCGTGTCAACAACCTAATATCAGCATTTTATATTTTAAAATGTTATTGAAAGAATCAGGAATGTTGGGGACAGTATAACTTAAGTATTACTGCGGAGTGCCACGGGTGGATCCACATAGAGGTAAGGTTGGGCAAGTGCCAACCTCAACTTGGAAAACTCCAGTATACTATACAAGCAAATATTTAAATATGTATCCAACCTAGGATTTTGATTTTATTTGCACTTTATCTAAATCTCTTTTTCCCAAACTTTAGTACATCTCAAGCAATAATGTTCATCTTAATTAAATAGGTTGGGTATTATAATGCAAGATGGATAGATATAAGTTATATGATGCCTGATCATATTTAATATATATCTGTGTGTGTGTGTGTGTGTGTGTGTGTACCATATGTACACACACACATATACATACATACATACCACATATAGGTATACGTATATATATCACATATACATACATATATATATATATGTGTGTGTGTATACACACACACACGTGCATGCGTGTGTGTTCTTGTTCTCGTCCATTAAATATTGCTGCAATATTTCTATGGAATGAAATATTACGTTTTAAAAAATAAGCTTGATCTTTTTAGTGCCCAACCTAGATACAGATCCTGGCTCCACTCCTGAGTGCCGAGTGTGATATGCCAGTTTATAAATGATCATTACGAAGTACCGGCCATGTGCTGTGTTGTGGGTCATGAGACTAAACAAGTCTGCTAGCATGACAATAATGCGAACATGCAGGATGTAGT